CGTTGTTTCTATTTGCACTCTTCTAACCACAACAACTCAGTCTTTTCTGCTTGCAGAGCCTTTCCTTGTGTCAGGATCTCTGTGGTTTTCGGGCATCTCCTTAACTTTTTGAGAGATTTGTCGATTTTGACCAATCACTTCCTTGTATTTCCGAACTTCTCCTTACTCCAGCCTATTAGCTTCTGTTCGCATTCACTTAGCAGATTGAGAACATGCACATTTCCATCCTTGTTCCAGATCTTCTCAATCACCCCTCTACTCTCCTTGTCCTTCAGCCAGAACGGTTCAACTTTAAAATACCACCCCCACTTAATCTCCTCATCTTCCTGTCCTTTAGTGTTCATCATGATAGGATAGTGATCGGATCCCTCCCATTCAATATGAGTAACCTTGAAGTTAGGGAAGGTTTGTTTCCATTCAAGAGTAGCCACACATCTGTCAATTATTTCTTCGATGTATCGATTTTCTACTCTCCTGTTCTCCCAGGTAAAAGGATATCCCTCAAACCCGCAATCGAGAAGACCACAGAATTCAAGTGATTCCCTGAACGGTCTTGCCATCCCTTCATCAATGGCCCTACCACCACTTTTACCTGATCTTGAAAGAATCTGGTTGAAGTCACCCAAACATAGCCATGGTAAGTTGCTAACATCCCTCAAGCTGCATAGGCATTCCCATGATAGCTCTCTCTTGCTTCTGTCAGGTCTACCATAGAAACCAGTTAGTCGCCACGGTGGCACTTTTTCTGCATATGAGACAATACCATCAATGTGGTAAAATGAAATGGAAAGTTTAGTAATAGTGATTTCATCATTCCAAAAGAGGCCAAGGCCTTCAGCTCGATCCCTTGATGCAAAACCCATCTCTTGATCAAAACCAAGAACCTGCTTCACCGTTTTCCTCTCATTATCACTTAACTTAGTTTCTACAAGGAAAAGGATTTGGGGTGAATGTATCCTGACTAGATGTTTGAGATTAGTGACTGCTCGGGGATCACAAAGCCCACGACAATTATAGCTAACAATCTTCATGCGTACAGGATTGAAGGAGAGAAAGTAGACGAGACCAGGAGGGAGCTGAAACGACACAGGAAATCAAAGAGGTGGAGAAGAGACGAAAGGGGATAGAGATAGGGGAAGGGGGGACTGAATCTACAGGAAACGAAGAAAGAATTTGGAAGAGGAAGTAAAAACCAGAGAGGATCCAAATCTGGATAAATCAGCCGAGTTCCACAAGGGAAGACGAAAAGACACTCCACCAAGAGGGAGAGAAGAAGCTCTCAACAAACGAGAGGCGTAGGTTTTTCGGTTCTAATAGTTATATTCGAGGGGAAGATATTGCTTCTTCTGGACTTTTGATATTAATTAAGTAGGCGTTTGGTGTTTCCAATTAGAATTTGCTTCTATGTTGTTACATATCGTATCCTCACCAGAATGGCTAGCATGTTGTAGTAGTGAACGTAGAAGATCAATTTTTTATAAGGGTGATATAGATTTGTTTTTATCATTTTGTGTGTCCTTTAATATGCTTCAAATATAATAATAATTATTTAAAATATGTAAATAAAAGTTACTAATGGAGTAATACATTCATGGGGAAAAACAAATTGATACAAGTTTTTTTTATATAAACAACTATAACGTGTTTTTTAATTTTCATATCACGAAAAGATTAAAAAAATTCATCATTTATACTCTAGAGTATTTATATTTGCATATATTTCCCTAAACTTATTGTATTATCAATAAACCTTCTCATATTAAAGTAAGAGTCTAATATTCGAATCTCATATGCACACCTATTAGGAATTAATATTTTTTCTCAAATTTTTAGGTGTGTCGTGTGATTCACCCAAAACGGCCTGGCTCGATTGCGTATTGGGAACCCCTCTATGGTTAGATCAATCTACTCAATTACGACGAAAGGTGAGTTACCCTAAGAGTGTGTGGGTTTGAGTACTGATTCTCACTTTTAAGAAACATTGAAAATATTGTCCGGTTAGTGAAGTTACTGGTTTGGACATATTGGGGAGGCTAATAAGAAACTTGGCCTGGCTCGATTGCGTATTGCCTACAACCTATCTTGGCCTATCGTTGGGTGCCCCCTCGTGATAAGCCACAATATGGAGTGCAACCATCAACAAGTTACAAAAGAAACTTGAAGGGTTGAAGGGTATCGGAGAATTAGAGAATAAAAAAAAGTTACTTGGGAAATTCCTCTTAAAACTTCTCAGATTGGGGAGGCTAAGAGAGAGTGTGTGTGTGAGTGATTAAGTTTGTTTAATTTTCCTTGGTGCAATTCATATTCTTTAATTTTTCCAGGAACAAGCAAATGAATTTGGCTCCAAAAAAAATATGTAGCCTCCAAAATTTAAGGACAATAGCATTTTAAAAAATTCGCTCGAAATCTGTAATGATACCCCTTTGTAATCTGTCAAAAATAGACCCAGAAAAATCTGCCTAAATCGGTGTTTAATAGACTTAATCAATAGTGAAGAATACCATGAGGCCGAATCCATGATTTGTACGCTTCAAAATCCAAAGAAAATGGTCATTAAAAAAATTCGTCTGAAATCTGCTCAAATCGGTATTTAATAGACTTAATCATCGATAAAGAATAGCCTCAGAGCGAATTAGTGATATGTTACCTTCAAAATCCAAGTAAAAATGCTTTCGAAAAAATCGCCCAAATAATTAAAAAAATGACATCTGAAAAATCCGTCAAAATCGACAATTAATAGACTTCGTCATTGATGGAGAATAATCTCAAGTCGAATCTGTGATTTGCAGCATTTAAAATCCAAGGAAAATGGCTGCCCTTTGGAATTTGCAAAAAATGGATCCGAAAAAATACGACCAAATCGGTGCTTAATTGACTTAATCAACAGTGAAGAATAACCACAGGTCCAATCCGAGATCTGTAGCCTTCAAAATCCAAGGAAAATGTCCTTTCAAAAAAATTGCTCGAAATCTGTGATGGTACGCACCCCTATGGAATCTGCCAAAAATGGACCCGGAAAAATTTGACAAACGATGCTTAATAGACTTAATCATAAGTGAAGAATACCATCAGGCTGAATCCATTATCTATAGCCTTCAATATCCAAGGAAATTGGTCTTTCAAAAATATCTCTCGAAATATGTGACGGTGCCCCCTTGGAATCTGCCAAAAATGGCCTTGGAAAAATTATGCCCAAATCAGGTGTTCAATACACTTAATCGTCGCTATATAATAGCCTCGGACTGAATACGTGTTGCAGCTTTCAAAATCTAAGGAAAATGGCATTTCGGAAAAATCGCCAAAAAATAACGAAAATGCCCTCAGGAAAAAATCTTATCAAATTGGCGATTAATAGACTTCATCATCAGTGGAGAATGCCTCAAGCCAAATCTGTGATCTGTAAACTTTAAAATCCAAGGGAAATAGTCTTTCTAAAAAATCGCTAGAAATCTGTGACGGTAGCCCTTTGAAATCGGCAAAAAATGGACCTAAAAAGTATAACCAAACCGGTGTTTAAAAGACTTACACAACAGTGAAGAATACCCTCAGGTTGAATCTGTGACCATTAACCTTCAAAATACAAGAAAAATTGTTTTTCGAAAAAAATCGCCTGAAATCTATGATGTTACCCTTTAAGAATCTGTCAAAAATGAACCAGAAAAAAATATGTCTAATTGATGCTTAATAGACTTAATCAATAGTGAAGAATACCATCAGAGCGAACCTGTGATATGTAGTCTTCATATCCAAGGAAAATGGTTTTTCAAAAAAAAAATGTCTGAAATCTGCGATTCATTAGTAATATGCCAAAAATGGCCCCGAAAAAATTCTGCCTAAATTGGTATTTGATAGACTTAATCATTGCTAAAGAACAGCCTCAAGCTGAATCTGTGATCTGTAGCCTTCAAAACCTAAAGTAAGTGGCATTTCAAAAAAATCGACTAAAATTTACGAAAATGCCCTTAAAAACCGCTCAAATATGCGATTAATAAACTTCATTATTGGTGAAGAATAGCCTCGGGCTAAAACTGTAATCTATAGCCTTCAAAATTCAAGAAAAATGGCACTTTCAAAAGGTTGCACAAAATATTACGAAAATGCCCTCTAAAAAAATTCGCCCAAATTGGCGGTTAATAGATTTTATCATTGGAAGATAATAGGCTCAGGTCGAATCCATTATCTGTAGACTTCAAAATCAAAGGAAACCGTTCTTTCAAAAAAATCGCCTGAAATCTGTGATGGTACCCCATTTGGAATCTGCCAAAAATGGTCACGGAAAAAATCGGCACAAATCGGTGCTTAATAGACTTAATTATCGGTGAAAAATACCCTTAGCAAATTCCTGATCTGTAGCCTTCAAATTCCAAGGAAAATGGTATTTCAAACAAATTGATCTTTAATAGACTTAATTATCGATAAAGAATAGTTTGAGAAATACTCCATGATCTATAGCCTTCAAAATTCTAAGAAAATTGGTTTTCGAAATATAGGCCGATATCTGTGACTGTGATGGTACCTCTTTTGATTCTGCCAAAAATTGTGGCTGAAAATCCGCACACATCGGTGCTTAATAGACTTAATCATTAGTGAAAAGTAGCCGCAGCCTTTCAAAATCCTAAGAAAATTGGTTTTCGAAATATAGGCTGATATCTATGACTCTAATGGTACCTCTTTTGAATCTGCCAAAATTTGTCACGGAAAAATCTGCACACATCGGTGCTTAATAGACTTAATCATATGTGAAAAATAGCCACATGTCGAATTTGTGATTTGTAGCAATCAAAATACAAGGAAAATGGTCTTTCGAAAAAAATCGCCTGAAATCTGTGATGGTACTTTGGAATATGCCAAAAAATGGTCCCGAAAAAAATCTACCCAAATCGGTGAAAAATAGCCTCAAACTTAATCCGTGATTGGTAGTAGTCAAAATCCAAGAAAATGGGCTTTCAAAAATCACTAAAAATTATGAAAATGCTCTCCGAAATTTTTTTGCCCAAATCACCGATTAATAGAATTTATCATTGATGAAAAATAGCATCACGCCAAATCCTAAATAAAAGCATGAAATATGTACTTGTAACCCTTTGAAATCTGCAAAAAAATGTCCACGGAAAATTCTGCCAAAATCGATAGACTTAATCATCGGTTAAAAATAGTCTCAATCCGAATCCGTGATTTGTATCCTTCAAAATGCAAGGCAAATATCTTTTCAAAAAAATCGTAAAAAATCTGTGATGGTACCCTTTTGAGAATCTACCAAAAATAACCCCGGAAAAAATTCACCCAAATCAGTTTTTAATAGAATTAATCATTGGTAAGGAATAGCCACATGACGAATATGTGATCTTTAGCCTTCAAAATCCTAAAAATTGGCTTTCAAAAAATCGCCTGAAATATGTGATGGTACCATTAATGAATCTCCCAAAACTGCCCTTGAAAAAATAGCCAAAATTGATGCTTAATAGACTTTATCATCGTTGGATAATAGTCTCACGCCGAATCCATGATTTGTTGCCTTCAAAATCAATGGGTTTTCAAAAAATCGGCCAAAAAATTATAAAAATGCCCTCCAAAAAACATACGCCCAAATCGGCGATTAGTAGGCTTAATCATTAAAGAACAATAGCATCAGGTTGAATCCGTGACCTGCAGCCTTCAAAATCCAAGGAAAATTGTTTTTCGAAAAATTGTCTGAAATTTGTGATAGTACCCATTTGAAATCTGCCAAAAATGGCCCCGAAAAAAATCCACCTAATTTGATGTTTAATAGACTTAATCATCGGTAAAAAAATAGTCTCATTCTGAATTCGTGATCTGTAGGCTGTAGCCTTCAAAATTCAAGGAAAATTACTTTTCAAAAAAATCACCTGAAATCTTGATGGTACCCCTTTGGTATCTGCCAAAAATGGGATCGAAAAAATCCGCCCAAGTCTATGCTTAATAGACTTAATCATCGGTGAAAAATAGCCACAAGCCGAATCCATGATCTGTAGCTTTCAAAATTCATGGAAAATGACCTTTTGAAAAAATTGCATGAAATCTTTAATAGTACACCATTTTGAAATCTGCCAAAAATGGTCACGAAAAAAATCCGACCAAATCAGTATTTAATAAACTTAATCATTGATGAAAAATAGTCTAAGACATGATCCATCATCTGTAACAGTCAAAATTCAAGAAAATTACTTTTCAAAAAATCACTTAAATTTTTATGAAAATAGTAAATACCCTCTGCAAAAACAACTGCGTCTGCTAGTTGCATAGATGTGGTTAGAGAAAACTTCAGAGTTTGGGTATCCCTCTAGTTCTTGCAAACTGTAACCGTCAATATATCTGTAATATCTTCATGGTTTTTGAACAATACGAGTCAACATTATCAAAATAAATTAACATAAAGCTTCCATTTCAGTTTCAGGAAAGCCTTTTCTCGGGTTTTTTAAGCCGAAGAAATGATTTAATTTTCAGTGAACGTCACTCCTCCCATCACTGACAGACTTTTACTCAAGCTTCCTTCCCTCCTACAAATAATTGCTCTACTTTGCCACACCGACACTTCATTTTTTATGCAATTTAGCTAACCCTTTCATTAATCTTGGAAGAATTCCTGGCTTTTTTGTCATTGAAGAAGAGGAAACATAGCAGCATTTCTATTGAAGTTAACCAAAGGGCTGTCCTTGTCTGTCACAAATTTGTGATACCCTGTTACAACGTTATAACAACATCATCAAAAGGCAAAAAGTGTCATTCGTCAGCAACAGTTATAACAACGTTATAACAACAGCAGCAGTTTTCACTTTCAGTACTAAAGTTGCAGCAGCTTCTATGGTATTCAGCGTAAGAGAGAAACCGAGGAAGGAGGTTAACTGTTGGTAGGCGATCCTGCCGCTGGTGTTAATCAAAAGGGGTCACTTATGAAACCCCCGATCAAGAGGTATTCAAAGCTTGGTTTGTAGTATCTACTTGTGATGCTCCTGCTGCTGCTGATGTACCTTCCCTGCAGATTTCCTTCAGATACAAGAGAAACAAAGAATGGTGAGCTATCTTGAGGACAGAGTTGGTTAGATTGAGTGAAGAACATTCTGAGATTTATACCTTTGGAGATGATGAGGTTAGATTAAGAGACCCATAAAGAACATGGTACGGCTGCTCGAAAGCAAAAGGGTTCTCAGAAGAAGAGGGAATGCTGTTTGTTCCGGAAGGTGGCTGATTCGATACTGTACACTGGTTAGGAAGATTAAGACCAGGTTGAGCAGCAGAGGTTTCTTCATTTGCAGAGAAGGTACCCGTTAATGTAGTGGTATTCATTAGTCCATTTCCTTCTTCGAAACTTAATCCTGATAGAGGCAGTTGCATTGGCTGAAGTAGTCCAGGTAAGCACATTGGATGTAAACTTAATCCATTCCTCAATGTCAACATCTGCAGAAACCCACAATAAAGACAGAAAGATGGATGTTAATGACATGTTATAACATTCCTCGAACATTCAATAAACCAAAACAATAAAATTCCTTGAACTCTAACTAAGCTCATTTGGGCAGGAAAAAGAATGAAAAGGGGTCCCTTAAAACACATTTTGCAGCACGTTTCTCCTATTGGATTGAAACAACAAGCTCTGATAGAGACCACAGATGTCCCTACACCCGTCATTGTCAGAGCTGAAACCTAAATTCAACAGAAAGATCATCTTTTCTAGTCAGCTTATGCAATCACACCTCAAACCTGGACCTAACTTACACTGGAAATAGACTTTCAAGAGACTGGTTTGCACTTCTAACCTTTTAAAGAATGAAAAACACATGGCTTCAAGAAGGTGGCAAGCACATGAGAATAAAGTTCAAGCCTTTATAGTTCCGGTAGGGATTGACTTATGGTCGCACATTAGAAGTTAGTGCAAGAACTTCAATTTGATGCTTCATTCATTTCATCCCAACTAGACAGGCAAAGTATAACAAGATGGTAAGGTCTGAACCAAGACATAAACTTCTAATGTCAAAAACTTCAACAGCTAGATCCATTTCAATGAGTCACCAAGATCCTTAGTTCACTGTGATACCATTTGCATGAGGTAAACCAAGATCCAAGCTTTTGGATCCATGCATTACCTTTGCTGGTTGTGACAGATAAGCTTCAGACTAGGAACTAACTACTACATATGATCATCAACCATTTAAAGGGGAAAAGATAACGAACCTGGACTTGGAGCTGAAGCTGCTTCAAGTATTCAATGGCTTCATCCAGCATAGATGCCTTATCCGTCTAATACAAGGAATACGACAAGCAAAAGCCGCAGAACATTCTATCAAGAATCAGTCAACTCCCACCAAAAAAACTTTTCATTTCAGAGAAGAGAACCTTTTATCTCACCTTGTTAGAATTTGGTATCAGGTTCTGTAGAGCTTTCATTTTCTCGTTGATCCTGCTTCTCCTCCTCTGCTCACCCATTTCAGGATAAGATAATTAGGTACAACCCAAACAATTAATTCAAATTTAGATGTCAAACAAAGATAATTAATACTGTTCTGTTATGCTTTTAGCTGAAAACGGCCAAACCTTTTCAGATAAATTGTGAACTTCTGCTGCTCTGCTCCTCTTGGACGAGCCTCGAGGCTTTCCTCCTGTCTCCGTAGGCATCTCTGACCCTTCTCCGCCCTTAAACAATGGATATCCATATTAAATTAAGATTTAAACCACACTCCTTAATTAGGAAGATTAAACAACTATTAAACCCCATAATCCCTCGCTAAACCCAATAAATTCTTTCCTCGAAGACCTAAAAAAAGAGGCATAACTTCATTCTCAATCTCACCCCACTGTCGCAGCTGAAATCGCCGGACCCGAGATCGTTCTCCACGGTCGCGCATCCCCGCTTCGATCCCGCCGCCGCGTCGGCGGCGGCAGCGTCCTCGACGCCGCGGGGATCTCTGCCGAAGTAGAGACTGGGATCGGAGAAATTGACGCCGGAGTTGGAGCGGTGGTGGCGATCCAGGAACTCCAGCGGCAGGGCGGCGTCCGGTGGAGGTGGGAAGTGGTGCTGATTTGGCGGCGGCGGAGATGAGAAGTGAGGGTGGTGGAACATGAATTTGGGGGAGGAAGCGGAGGAAGTGTTGTGGAGGAACTGGTGGAGGAAAGACGAGATTTCCTCTGTCTCGGTGGGCGGAGGCGGGGCGGCGGAAGGAGGGGATGGAGCTGCACCGTACAGATCCGCCATGGGATTAGGGAGAATTCCGATGGCGAAATCTGTTTGAGAGAAGAAGAACCGTCGCTGCCAGATAGATACTCTGAGGAAGAAGAGGGAGGAAAGAAGGAACTAGAGAGAGTGTTGGGTAGCGCGGAATGGCGCTTTGGTCTCCCCTCCTCTTTTTCTGTGCAGACTGAGTTGTTATTTTTTCCTCTGCGAGAGAGTGGATGAGAAAGAGAGCTAAAGAAGAGAGGTTTAATGGAGGCTTAATGGAGTGCCCAATCTTTGGTTTGTGCCTTTGTGGAAGACAGTACGGAAACAAGAAGGCTAATCAAATTTCAATTAATCTCCCGCCTTAATCTGATTATATTATGTGCGGGGATTAGTTGGTCTTAATTTCACTTCGTGCCCCTGACTTTATCCGTATTTGCGAAAGTTGACCCTCCATTTTTGGCTTATTGGTTCTCAACCTCGATTAAATATAATAATTTGGTCTCGAGTTATTAGATTCAATTCTGAAATTTATATAATCTGCTAACATACTTTTTTAAACGAATTTGGACTTGAATTTTGCACAAGTCTGAATATCATGGGTTTAACATCGATGTCATTAGAAATCGAACACAAGATTTATCGATCATCAAAGACGATGATATAATGTCAAGAATCGATTTTTTTTTTTTGGTAGAAAGTCAAGAATCGATTTGAATCCAATAACTCGAATTTTTTAGTGAAGTTCAATATGAATTTTACAGCACTGACTAACACCTGTATCATAAAGAGTTATATATGACAAGCTAACCACGAAGGTTATTTGCTAAAATCCTAACTTTAAATTCCCCAGCTAGTTGATTGATCTGTCAGTATCATGACTAAACAAACCTTTTAATCCTACAAAATTCAAAATTATCTTCCCGAATGTAGCAAGTTTTGTCATTAACTTAGTCTGTACGATTACGACGACTACAGATGAAAGCCGTTCGAAATTATCGTTATAGTCCATCAAACTCATGCTCTTGCATCTCATCCCTCCCCCCAACAAGGTTTTTGCCAATGTATTGCCAAAGCTAGCACTACTTAGCTTAAACCTAATGACTCTTTATCCACACACCATTAGGTATGGCAACAAAACCCGAACCCACGGGTACCCACCCGATCAACGCGGGTAAAATCCGTGTTAACGGATTTTGGGTCGGGTTTGGGTTTAAATCCGTTCACTATTCACCGGGTTGGGTTGGATTTGGGTTTAGGTAAACCCGCCACATGGGTACCTGCCCACACCCGTATAATTAATTTTCTCGGTATATTTAATATTCTATACAACTAATCTTATTTATGTTTGTGGAGACATGTCTAATTTTTTCTTTCTAATTGTGTAGAATGAAGTTGATGTTATCGAGTGGAGAGTGATGAAACTTAATTGAAAGGAAGAAGCTTACAATTAATCATGTTATTTATGCATAATTTGTGATTTGCTTCAATTTTCTTCAGTTTTCTAGATTGGTGTTGAACAATTTGTATAATTAATTTGTGATTTGCTTGAATTTTCTAGAATGGTGTTTTATATATGGATAATTTGTATTGAGAGATTGATATTTGACTTTAATTTTGATAAGAACTTGTTATTGTAATTTTTTTACGATAAAACCTCATGGATACCCAGCGGGTTGGGTTGGGTTTGAGTTTTTCAAACCCAGTAAATTTTACCCCAAATTTTTTCTACGGATAAAACCATAAGTTTGGGTTTGACAAAACCCGACCTAATCCGACTCATTACCATCCCTACACACCATCTAAAAAGAGAATACTTTCTATTTCAAACACAACTTCCCCTTTTATCCCCCAACAAACCCAACATGAAGCAAGAGATGGACTGATATTGTTTTTGTGGGGCTAAATTTCCCTTTCCCTGTCCACCCTTTTAAGTCACATTATCACTCTCCCTCTCTATCCCATTCTAGCTTTTGATGCTTCTCCTGTCTGTGTGGCCCATTATCCAAACCATTATCTGAAGGTTCAGAAGAACTGTGCCTGGTTAGTTTCAAAATGGGTTAAGGGAGGATGGACCAGAATAGTAAATGTGAATTTGTTGAGGGACTCATTATTAATTGCGGTAGAGGAGGAGGAGGAGAAAAGAAAGTCAAATGAAAAGAAGAGGCCGGACACATCGACAAGGAACGGGCAGCGGGCAGCTAGTGGGCCTTATCTTCCTATCAGGAAATCAAAATAACGTCACCCCTTAGCCCGAACAAGCCAAAAGGTCGAAAAGGCGTAGAGATAGAGAGAGGAATAGAAAAGAAAAGACGGGTAGCAAAATTTTAGGGCAAAAGCATTAAATTGTTACTATTTATTTATTTATTTATTAATTGATGGGCGTATGTATTCTGTATTGTATTGTATACGAAATTACAAATATGTGAAAGACCCCAAAAAGGCACTGGTCTGCAAGTCCCAATGCGAATGTCACAATTTGCATTGGCGTGTTCGTAACAATTTCCTTTCCACCCTTTTTTTCTTTTTGCTCTCTTACCTTAGCCCTAGCTAGTTCTTGTTAGAGGAATGGGATTTTGGAGGGCGGAGTTGAGACGAAACCCAACTTGTAACCAACTAGATTTAGCAATAGATTGTGCAAGTAAGCTGATATGCATATTAGTGGGCATGTCAACTCATTTGGTAGAAGATGATTCCTTTATATTCATATTGGTATGGGACTAGTGTATCGATAACTTAACTATAACGTCGATTAATCAGGTTAATTTAGATAAACTCATACAGATAATACATATCCACCCCGCATAATCCATGATCGATTCTCGAGCTCATAACTTCGATTTGGTTGAAGAGATTGCTTTTTTGTTCACGTCTACATACTTCATTTGTGTTTAGCTTATGGGTCGTTTGCTTCATGGATGTTAAAAATGAGTGTTTTGGTAAAACTTGAATTTGAAATGAATTTGTTGACATTAGAGATTTTGAAAAAAGTCTATTGTTTGCATATTGGATTTGATCATTGATTCGTTTGATTGGATCATGATTTATTTTTAGAAATAGGTCGTGAATTTTTTGCTGTTCTTCAATTCACACCTCTTGACATGAGATTTACAAGTCCGTGAGGTACATAAATTTGAATCCTCCAACTCAATAAACCTCACAATTTTTATAAAAACTTCAAGTAATTTCATCCTAGGTTGATTTGAGAAGCAATTTCATCGTTATCCATGGAGCAACTCGTTTGCTTGTTAGATTTGAAAATAAAGGGTTTGAGTTTTGAAAACATTTGGTTTGATGATGGATTTATTGCATTTAGTATTTTGAAAGATAACATTGTTTGTTTAGTGGATTTTTGTATCATGAATTTAGTTGATTTGATATTTGAGTCTAAATAATCTGCCTTCAATAACTAAATATAAAATAAAATATGGTATTTGCAAATACATGAGATCCACAGATTTGGAGCTAAAGATGGTCCAAATTTATGGGCTCCACCGATTTGTATACCTTAACGAACAATGAAACGACGGGGATGGAGCTTAGCCAGCAGATGCAGCCTATGCGAGAAGGATTATGAGACCGCAAAGCATCTTCAGGTCCTGTGGTTACAGCAACAAAGTCTGGACTTGTTTTATGCAGATTTTGGCTATTCATGGCTTGATGCCGAAGAGAATTGATGATCTCAATCGATGTTGGCCTGTCGAAGACCCACCTACATGGGTTGGATGGTTTCGAAACTTTATCCTCCATGCTTCCGTTTGGGAAATATGAAAGGAAAGAATCCAAGAGTTTTTGAAGACAGATTTAAGGATTGGCACGAAATTGTGCAAAAGATTGACAAAACATTATTGGAATGGATCTCTACAGCTGGTTTGATTAATGAAAGCAACAACTGCGAGTGGATTAGTGCTCTCTAAGAAGCAAGTCCGAGCACCCCAAAACTACAAGATTGAGACCACTCTGTTTTGTTCTTGTACATGGTGTGATTCTAGTTCTTTTTTAGGTTCTTCTTATGTTTTCCCAGCACGACAGATTGTCTGCTTAGCGATTATTCATTTCTTTTTTCTCTTTGTCTGTCCTTTTTTTTTTTTTTCTTTTCAAGCCACTGCAGACTTTTCCTTCTTCCCTTTGTATCTTCTCTTACACCTCCGGTGTACTTTTCGAGCAATAAATTTTCACCTTCATAAAATAAAAATGAGTTGGCTCAAGATAGGGTGCATAACTATTAGTAATCAAATATGGATCCTTCTTTTAAGTGGCTGCAGATCTAAAGGTGGAGAATTTAAAAAATTTATTTACCCTAGTTTTCTTGATTGAATCATATCTTCGTCATTCTAACTCGGATTTCAATTTCTTTTGCACAGATGGAACGAGTTCGTTGGTCTCTACAAAATGATATCTATTTTCAATATTTTTTGAAAAAAAAAATTCATACCTCTTGTTACCAACTCCATACCATACTATACCACCGTGATATGGGTTGGTATTTTTCATACCATATGGTATGCTCTTATTTAATACCAGTCAATACCATATGGTATAAACTGGTAATAACTGGCAAAATTGTTTGCTCCAAAAAATATCAAGTGGATATCATTTTGAAGAGCACAATTAATCTGATCTAAGTATGCAAAAAAAAAATCTGACTTAAAACGAGTGAGAAATCATCCGTTAAAAATTAAGGAAAGTAAAATTAAAACTTTTTCGAAGAGAAAGAATGAAGCACTGATATGGCAAATTCTTATTGGGTTATTGCTACCAAACGAATTTACCAAAACATAATATTGGTATTTTGGGTCCAAACCTTGTCCCGCTCCCATCCAATGATGATCGTCCGAGGGTTTGCATGACTCCAGACAAATAGTGTAGGCTACGGCCTTGTTTGGCTCCAAACATAGGATTGGGCTCGTTAGAGGACCAAACTCCAAGCCTGCTTAGTTGTTCAAACCCCTAACCGTAAGCCCGGAACATCCATTCACATTTCATCTACCTTACCTAGTCAGCAGCAGAAGTGGGAGCACTATTTTGAGCAGCGAAGGCGGAGTCACTGATACGTGGTTTCACATTGAGTTGGGCTTTAGTTACAAACCCAGCTTCTTCTTACAGCTATAGGGCCAAAAGCCCAAAACACCATCAAGCTTCAAACTCTCACGATTCGGAAGAGTAGCACCGTCGAAGAGGCATAACCAACTGAAGAAGGGTTTCCCATAAAAAAAAAAGAGCAACTGAAGAAGGGTGCGTTGAAGACTTGAAGCTGAAGATATATATCCTTGTTTGTTTCCCTTGTGGTAGCTGACCCAACTCAAACTGAATTTTGAACTGGTGAGCTGTTGGAACAATGGCTTCAACAGAAAAACCTAATACCGGGATTATATTGATTGATTTCTCGTATATTTTCATCTTCGAGTTATACATTTACGGTGATCTCTTCTATCTTATGCGAGCTAATGAAATGGGTCGCACATAGGGATGACATGGCAGTAGAACCCGAATTTGCGGCTACCTAACCCAACTCGATCAAAGCGGGTAAAATCCGTTTTGACGGATTGCGGGCCGGGTTTGGGTTTAAATCCACTATACTTTTTTACGGGTTGGGTTTGGGTATAGCCATATCCAATCCGTGGATACCCGCACCCAAGTCCTTACTCCACACGACCCACGAAATCCTGAACTAATTAACTATAATTTCTAAACTAATTTTTCACATGTTCAATTAATCATATTGTTTGTGGATGTTTATCTTTAATATTGAACAATTAGTATGAATGATTTGTGAGTTAGTATGTATGTAGTAAACAATAGTTGTGAAAACTAGTGTAATTGCATCTTTGTATATGAACCCATGATTACCCATTAACCCGCGGATACCCAACAGAGGGTGGGTTGGGTTGGGTTTGAGTTTTACAAATCCAGTCGATTTTACCCCGAATTTTTTTGTGGATAAACTCATGGGTTCGGATTTGGATTTGGCAATAACCAGCCCCCAACCTGACCCATTGCCATCCCTTGCACATGGCAGTCTTTCCTCAATCATGTCTTTTTCTTCTTTTTTGTCTTTCGGTTTCCACTCCTTAAGTGAAAGAATTCGTCTTTCGGCACTAAAGCAATGAGGTACAAATTTCTTAGGATTCAAAAATATGCACAAGACGCAAAGAATGACTCGTGACTAAGCCGCTATTGGAGGATCCAACATTACTTAATTTTTTTTTTTCATTTTTCACTGTTAACTAATTACCTTAGTTAACTGCGACTAGGGGTAGGCATTGGGTGGTTGAACCCACAAATTCACTCGCAATCAACCCACCCATTATCATGTGAGTGGCCCCTATGGGTAGATATGAGTTGTAAAATAGGTGACTCAAAAAATATTGGGTGGGTGCAGGTGGACTATGGTTGACCCACGACCCACCCAACTTTTTAACCTCAAGCCATCAAAGCTCCAACATATAGCTTTACCGAAATTGAAACCCTTCAAATCACAAAAATTCCTCTCAATTTCGATCAAAGGATTGTGTTTTGAGTGTGCTTAGGCAATTGGAGGTACTCTTAAGCATAACTAGTAGACAAATGGAAGAAAAAATATTGTTGTCTTCCCCCGATTCGTCCTTCATTCCTTCCATTAATTTGAAATTGTAATTTGCGACTATAGGTTAAAAAGCAATTTACGCTCACAACGCCTAGGCGAATGAGGCACTACAGAAGACCAAAATGTTTGCCATATGTCTAGTGCCTTCTCGAACCTTTGTTATTATCAGGCTTAGACCATGTTTATCAGTTGAGTATTATTTTTGTAATTTGTGGAAAATTACCAATACCAATATTGTAAAATAAATGATTCACCTGATTTATGGATTAAGCATTTAGTTTAATTTTTGTTCATTTTAAGTTTAACTCTATTGAAATTATGTGATCATATGGAATATATCTTGTAAATCCACCAAATCCATTTAACCTCCTATCATCCACAATCACCCAACCAAACCACACGCATGTAATGCTTGAGTTGATGTGTATCATTTTCTCCTTCACCCACATTGTGGTACCGTTATCAAGCCACATTGAAATAAGTTCTATTTCACTAACTTGTCCGATACAATTTTCAGATCTATTTCACAAATCAAGCATCTACCCTAAACAACGTATAGTCCAAACAAATTCGGCAATCTGGTTTTCCTCTATGCCCTTACGTAAACACGGCAAAAAGTGCAACAACACTGACCCAAAATGCGTCAAAAGCCCAACGCCCATATCTAACCAAAAACAAAGCAAAATACACAAATCTATCCGAAATAGTAAATGACGACAGGAATTGATAACGAATGTTCCGTTCCAATAGAGAATTCATAAATTAAAACTAAATATAGTCATCCATCCCTGAAGTCCACCCAATTCCAGAATAAATCCAAAAGCAGCTTGTTGGATTCACATTTCCTTTTACAAGCTGCTGTTATCATCCATCCAACTATCTGCAGACTGATTTTCCTTTCGCCCCCACCCTTCTTAAACCATAAAAGATACAAAAGAAGAAATATAATAAAGAGAGAAAATAAATGCAGTAAAGCTTCCCCTCCTTGCCTACGAGAGTATGACTGCTAACTGAGTCTGCAATGTGCCTAACCCCATGGAGAACCAAACCAGCCATTAGAAGTCAAAGAAATGTTCTTTTCTGGATCCCGAATCTACCCATGTTCTGCAATTTCCAATCTCTTCGTCGGGTGGGGAGGTGGGGTGACATTGCTGCCTCTTATCTGTTGTTTTCTTCGTTCTCTGCGGGGGACGTACCTAATTTAGCTGGCAAGCCCTGTTGTTTTACAGATGGGGCACCAATTCTTCAGCATTAGCCACTGTTTGATGCAGCCTGTGTGGAAATCATGCCCACAATCGAGGGTTCCGATCTCCTCACCGTTATTGTACTCTTCCTGCACATAATCAATGCAGTTTAGTATGTTTTCAGATCAGTTATTGCATATATATGGCTATAGCTAGGAAGGGGTGATGTAATCGACCAGAGGAAACGGTTACTTACCTGGCACACGCAGCATGGTTCTGTCTCGGACTCAGCGGCACTCCCTACAGCAGCTGAATATTTTCGCTGTTTAAGTTGACTTCCTATGGTCTCTTCGCTTAATCCGGTATTGACACTGCCAATCTGCTCTTCTAATGCAAGTAACTCCTGCATATTCCCGGGAGGAAAAAGATTATGAGTTATCAGTCACAGGCTAGTTATGAATTGAAAAGCCTGGTGTGGTGTGTATATATTACCTCGTATGACATGTTATCAACATCAAGCCGCATGTCCCTGTGCCTATCGTGCATATCGGCCATACCAAAAATTACCGACTGATCAAGGATCATGACATCCTGAGACAAGAAAACGTGTAAGCTATACAGGCTAAACAAAAAGCAATCGAGTTGAAATCAGGCCAACATTCAACATCACTAACTGAAACACTTGCTACTTAAACTACAGACAGCAGTACACAAATAAGAAACGCACGGAACACAAATAATCAGACTCATTTCACTTGACCAGCCTGACAAGATTTAACATGATGACACACTATTGCTTAATTCAGCCCGGTCATAGCAGCTATTCAAAATCCTAATATGCCGAGAAAGCACTAGGAAGACAGTAAAAGAAGTGATGGTATCAAGAAACAGTTCATCTCAATAACCGGAGTTGTTCGGAGAGACCCAAATATGAATCTGGTACTATCCACTTGCAGACTGATGTTCAACAACAACCTAGTCAACATGATTGTTCTACGTGACTATGTAGAATTTAGTTACATGACATTTATGATACCCTACTTAAGTGCCAACAAAATCAAAAATAGTAAAATATAGGCTGGCTTTGGCAACTAAGACTCACTTTGTTGATAGGTCACAATTATGTATACTTCAGATAATGCATGCACGTAACTCTCTCGATTATCAGCTAAATAAAGAACACCACTAACAAGAAAAATATAGGATAACAAACCTCAAATCTCAGGCCCTCTCCCCTCCGCATGAGATCCAAGACATTGCGTAGCTGCTACAGAAACATAAAAAGGATACTGTAAGTTCCACATATTCACTGTTGGATAAATAATAGCTCAAATATTAGTTGGACATCTCATATCTGTTAAAGGCACTATAAATAGGTAGACCCACTTCACAAATCCAGGATACAAGCAGCTAAGTGGAACACAATAAATAGGAGGCCATGAATTGAAAGAGCAGGTGAGATGATATGGTTCAGTTGGCACTTCGCAAACTATCTATCATATGAACTAACCATGAGAGCCACAAGAAAGTGAAAAGAACAGTCGGCGGTAAATGGATCATGCAAATCCTGCAGCACAAGAAAAAATGTTTTCCAACAAACCTCGGAAACAAGCCTGCTACGACCTTCACCAGAGGCGCTTAAAGTTCGTAAGGGGTAAGGGATTCTAAGGACACCATCACCACCCTGTCTATCAAGCCATGGTGCTGATCTTGGATGAGATCGATGATGATGCCCCTGGTTACTACTAGTTCCAGCAGGTATAACCATCTCTGCTGCGGCAGAAGAATTATTATTACTGCTCTGGGTTCCAGGATCATCACCAGCTGCAGCAGAAGAAGAAAACAACGACCGCCGAACATACTCCGCCAGTCGTCTCGAGTTTCTAGAAGAACTTTGATGGGGCACCCAAGTTGGAGCTGACAAATGAACACCTGAACTGGATCCACCACTCCGGGATGCTGCAGAAGAAGAAACATTGCTACTAGGTACACTCATATTTCCACCAACTATGTTGTTCCGATTCCCATGATTTCTAGCAGAAGTTCTCGGCTCTGTTGCAGGTACAAACATAGGATGTTCCCATAATTGCCTAGCAGTATTTCTCGAGCTTCCCTCATCTCTATCACTAAAATCGATAGGACCACCTGATGAACTACCAGCTCTCGAGCTAGAAGTTTCACTCCACCTAAATGGTGGCCCAGTTTGTGGCAAAGCCGGAACGGGGATAACAACCGGCTGAACTTGAGTAACAGGAGCCTCTGCAGCAGACGAAGATGACCTGAATTCCAAGGCACGATCAACTGGAATATTATGTCTTGACGAGTGATGCCTAACAACACCGCCAGAAGAAAACAATGAAGAAGGAACAGATTCTTGATGCGAAGGATTTATCCTCAATCGAAAATTTCTTTGACGTGAGCTTCCTCCAGATGGAATGGGATCAGCAATACCTTCAGTACCAAGACCTCTCATACCTAATCCAAGTCTGGGATGCACCTGCTCAGGTGGTGCAGCAGCTGATATACTCAAACTGCTGCTGACTTGGCGGGGAGGAACACCTGGCCATGCACCACTACCTTCTGGATGCTGAAACAAGCTAGAACCACCACTCATAGAGGACTGCCCATGTCCTTCTACTGCTTTTCTTTTACATGATTGACGGCGCCCATCAAATGAAGAACCAGGCCTGCCATCATCTCCCATCAAGTATCCTCCACTTCCAGAAGGGAGAAGAAACTCTTCAGGACCACTAACAGCATGTTCTGCACCACTAGGCTTGTACACCATGTTGTGGCTTCCCATAGAATCGTCACCCTGACCCACCAACCCTGCATTCAAGTTCAGATTCTGGGGAAATCCAATGGCATTGGAGCTGTGCACAAACTGGGCATTGACATCGACACTATTCAATGAAAGCATATGGGTTGGTTCATGACGCCTTTCTTCTAACCTTGGGTTAGGATCAGCAGACATGCTAGCTGCTGCTGAAGAAGATGATGATCCATGTTCCATCTTCTGCTTATCTCGACTTCTGTCAGTTCTTGCACTGCCAGAACTCGGTTCACCTAGGCTCCACCGACTCAAGTTCTGCCGTTCATGGTCAATCGGATTTGCATACGGATTCATGTGAACAGGAGACAACATAAAGTTTGACAATCGCTCTTCTGGAGGATTTCTAAGGTTGTTCCAGCAAAGTTGCTGGTCCATGATGGGATTACCCGATGCTGATCCATGGTCAAAGTCCAAAGTCTCTGGCAAGGAGCCAACTATACCCCTCTGCCCTTGCATTAGGGCTAAATATGTTATATAATGTAGGTCAACAGAAGCAGAAACCCCCCAAAGCAAATGGATTCACTTGAAGACCTGACAACAAAAGAGAACATAGTTAGAGACACTCCTCTCAAGGAACACAACAAAGAACTCATATCACAGAGAATTTATCATTTTCACAATGCAAGAACACAGCACATAATACACCTCACCAGTGAAGAGAATGTTTCACAAAACTGAAAGCTGATAGACAACAGACTCTTATCATTGAGCAGGACACATTCATTCAATAAGGGCAGAAAATTAATATGAAACGTCAGCTCAAACAAGCAAAACTCAATGCATATATGTCACCACAAGCTACCCTTTGCTCCAATGAGCTCTTACTTGGTAACAACGCGATCACAATCAAGCTTGGCCTCTCTAACGGTTTGGATTGGCAAGTAAAGTTCGCATCTTTTATGCAAAAGCACTCTGCCCAGACTCATCTATTGGTAGAAACGCAACACTGAAGCCACAAGGCACATAGAGAACACAGGGACCCAAGCAACAATCGACCCAAACCAGCATTATAAAAAAAAAACAATCGACCCAAACCAAACATTGGAAAGCTACTGGCAAAATACTCAACAAAAGTATTGTTTCTCACAATCAACAAACAGAGCCCCAAATCAATCAGCCAATACAAACAACACATCCATCCAACAAAAGCAGATTCATTTCTTTGAAATGTTCACCAGAGCCACTTCGCCTGGTCTAACAAAGGCACCGATGGGTGGAGTTCTCAGCCAAACACCACCAGTTCCTCAATCATCATGAATGACGAAAACTGGAAACACAAACAGAAACCAAAACAATCCGAAGATTTTGAACAACAAAAATCATTTATTTTTGAGAATTGCCATGCTCATAACAACCCAAAAACAAGAGGAAAAACTACTGAAGACTTCGAGAAAAAGAGAGCGCACAGATGAAACCCAATCTCAATCCGACCTACCGCCGCCTACTGATCAAGCTAAGCAATACAATCCACAGCGAGGGGAAACAGCTCACCGATCAAAGAGAGAGCAGGAAACTCCGACCGATCTAAAAGAATCCGAAGCGGAGAAGCCACAACCGAATCAAATATGAAAAAGCTCCAACACCCAACCGAAGAAAACCCAGAAAATTTCTCCGGCAAGAGTACGAAAGAAGAGCGATAGACAGATGCAGGAATCCGTTCTCTTCCTCTTCTTCTTGTTCGTCGCCTGACCTTGTTCTCCCTTCCTCGAAGCCGGATGAGAGAAGCAAAAGCGGAGAAAACGGCACGCCCAAAATACCCCCCACCTCACCCACCAAAAGGGAATCGCAAGCAACAGGCCCGAGAGAAAGAGCTAGAGAGAGAAACGGAACCAATGAAGGAAGGAATGGAAAGGGGGAAGAGATTAGGGAGAGGGATAATGGGGAAGAAAAAAAAGGGGTGAGAAAGGAGAAGATTGATATGAGGGGTTGGGGGCAAGAAGAGCAACGAAAGGAAAGCAAAGACAAAGGCAAGGAAACTGCACAAGGAAAGAGATTGAAAGGCAAAAAAACAGTAATTATATTCTTATTATTTATTTAATTTACCATATTTATTGGATTCTTCAAAATTTAATTAATTTATTATTAGTTGAATTTTCTCTCTTTTTTTGTTCTTGTTTTACCTAATAACCCCACTTCCTAGTCCTAGCTAGGCAAGGCAAAGCAAGCAAAACACAACCAAACCCAAAGATTAGGAATTTTAATTTCGAATTAATAATTTAATTAGTGACTAATCAGAAACAGACACAGCAAGCAAGCAAGAAGAGATGGAGGCAAAGATCTTTTTATTTGTTCATAAATCCTTTTTGCCATTTTAAGTTAGAAAATAAATAGTGAAAGTGGTGGGAAGGGAAGAATACGAGAGAAACGAATGGGAAAGAAACAGCAGAAAGCACACCTCACCGCTTCTCACCACCATAGCACGCCACAGCTACAACATCAACAACAAGAGGGTAGAGAGAGAAACAGAGAGACAGAGAAATAAAAACAAAGGAAGTGAGAGAGAGGAGGAAACAAGTTGGCCACAACCAGAACCCCTTTTGTTGGGCCGCTTACCAAGTTCGCTTTCGTTATTCTCGTGGGTTATTTCTGTGAGAATAAGAAATGGTAAAAAAAATGGGAGGTGCTTTGGCTCCAATAATTTGGTCCAAGTTTCACGAAGGCGTGACTTGCTTATCATCATCAATTTGTGTTGTGTGTTTTGTGTTTTTATGATAGGCAAGTAACAACATTAAATAAATCAATAATTGAGGTGGTGGTGGATTGTGAAGTTCAAATAATCGAGTTTTCAACATTTTGTGAGTTTTAGAGTGTGTCATTATATTTGATCATTGCCAACCCACCTTCCGCCTCACTAAAAATGTATTATATTATTATGGTTAATTGATCTAGTCTCTCTAAATGTTTGACGTAGTATGAGAAAAATGAGAAACCGAAAAAATAAGACGATGTTTACGTGGTATCTCCGATTACCGGGACTAGTCCACGGGAGAGATCAACTCTCTGACTGAGATATTATTACTTGAGTTCAATTGTGGCCGTCAGCCTTACAGTATGTTTTATACCCATACAACTATCATCAAATAGGTTAAAGCAACTAGGGCACTTAAATACAGCATGAGCAAGAGATGTTGTGGGCTTGTCTGTGTCGTGACAGGCCGCATGCGAGATGGTTCGTTAGGCACTTAGGCCACATGCAATATCCCCCCCCCCCCCCCCGGGGCAAGTTGGAGCTTGAAGGTCTTGAACGCGCAGTTTGGACAATAGGAAATGGAAACGCTCAGCTCCAAGTCCTTAGGTGAACATATCAACAAGCTGAAGGTGAGAACTCACTTTCGAGGGAGGAATCTCTCCAGATTACACTCTCTCTCTCTCGAACAAAATAGCAATCCATCTCTACATGCTTCGTACGCTTATGGAAAACAGGATTTGCTGCAATGTGGAGGGCAACCCGATTATCACAGTAAAGAAGTGTAGAGCCACGTCGTGTGACACCTATTTCTTGTAGGAGCCAACGTAACCAGAGGACCTCACTAACACTTTGGCGTGATACTCGGCCTCGGCAGATGAACGAGCAACAAATTGCTGATTCTTGGTACTCCAAGAAATAGGAGAACCACCAAGAGTGATAACGTATCCTGCAGTAGAGTGACGAGTAGACTGGAAGCCACCCCAGTCCACATCATAGTAGGCGACCAGATCAAGTGAGTTGGCGGAAGGGAAGAACAACCCTTGTCCAGAAGCCCCTTTCAGGTAGCGAAGAAGACGATTTCCTGCATCCATATGCGCCTATGTAGGGGAGTGCACAAACTGACTGGGAATGTTGACAGCAAATGTAATATCGGGTCTGGTAACAATCAGATACAACAAACGACCAACAAACCGACGATAGGCAGTAGGATCCGGATGATCTGCAGGAGCCGGTTTAGTAAGATGGTGATTTTATTCAACAGAAAAGGCACTAGGCCGACTGCCCATTACACTATAATCAACCGGAATGTCGAGAAGATACTTTCGCTGCCTAAGAACAACTCCCGCTGATGTCCATGCAACTTCTATGCCCAAGAAATAACGCAAGTCACCCAAATCCTTGATACTGAAACGAGAATGGAGAAAACTCTTGACATGGGAGATGAACTCGAGACTGGTGCCAGCAAGTATGATATCGTTAACATAATAAAGGCAATCACATGAATACTCCCTCGGCAAAAACAAACATAGAATGGTTCACTGGGGAAGGAAGAAACTGCAATTCACAGAGAGTCGCCGTGAATTTTTTATACCAGTTACGCGAAGCTTGTTTGAACCCATAAATGGACTTGTGAAGACGACAAACACGCTGTTCACTAGGTGCACCAAAGCCTTACGGAATCCTCATATAGACTTCTTCATCCAAGTCCCCGTGAAGGAAGACATTATTGACACCCAACTGATGAATGAACCAGCCTTTTCTGACTGCAACTGCGATAAGGCAACAAACTGTAACAAGCTTAGCAACCGGTGCAAAAGTGTCGTGAAAATTTATTCCTTCAATCTCGGTATAGCCTTTTTGCCATCAGACGAGCCTTATAACGCTCAATCGTGCCATCATAGTAGAACTTGATCTTGTAAAGCCATTTGCAGTCAATTACCCTTTTTCCGAGTGACAGCATAACAAGACTCCAAGTGCCACAACTCCAGCTGTCATTTCCCGTCACCAACATTCATCTTTAACAGATTCGAAGAAATTCCGTGGTTCGGGATGATGAGCTACCGTAGCAAGAAAGGCACAATAATTAGAAGAAAAACCATTATAAAACAAGTAGGCAGAGATGGGATAATGGACAGAGTTGGCTTGACTCCCTGTATAATATTTGCTAAGGTATTTAGGTGGCACACGCTGCCGATCACCACGCCGCACTTGGGGAGGAGATGGCATCGGAAGACACGTCGGACCAGTCCTGGACATTTCGGAAGAAGAATTCGTGGGAGGAGAGGCCAAGCCAGACCGAGACCTGTCCAAGGAAGGATGGGCCGGCGTGGACTGGCTTGGGGAAGTAGTCTGAGGAGACATGTGCTCGGGAAGAGGAGAAGCCCGAGGAATGGATGAGTCATCAAAAGTGGGTAAGGGTGGACCAAAGCTCGTTGTACAAGACCCAGATAGAGAGAATGAAGGTAGGACGGGAGTAGGGTCTGCAAGCACAAGCTCGTTTTCCAACTCTTCCCCGGGCCGATCAAAACTGGCGCGAGGAACCAAACGAAAATTCTGGGCAACGTCAGACTAAAACGAGAAAACAGTCTCGTGGAAAAGAACATCGCAGCTAGTAAGAATCTTCTGTGTCATCAGATCATATACACGATACCCCTTTTGACTTGTCGCATAACCCATGAAAACGCAAGCACGACCACGCTCATCGAACTTTCCAAGATGAGAGTGTGTGTCCTTGCAATACACAAGACATCCAAACACTCGTAAATGGGATTAATTCGGTGTTTTTCCAAAGATTACCTCATATGGTGTGCGTCCAGTAGAAGTAGTCGGCAGTCGATTAATCAAGTATGTTGTGGTAAGAATGCACTCGCCCCAAAAACGTATGGGCAAAGATGCTTGAAAACGCAGTGCTCAAGCAGTATCGAGCAAGTGGTGATGCTTCTGTTCAACTAAACCATTATGCTGAGGCGTGTCAATGCAGGAGGTTTGAAGCAAAATGCCTTCACGACTATTGAAGTCCCGCAAAACCAGAGTGTCAAACTCAGGAACATTATCTGCCTGAATCTTCTTTACCTACTTACCAAATTGCATACGCACAAGATGACAGAAAATTTGTATGTAGCGATCAACATTAGATTTAAATTGCATAAGATACACCCAAACTCCACGACTGAAATCATCAACAATGGTCAAAAAATAATAAGAACCACTGTAAAATGGAGTATGATAACCACCCAAAATATCCACGTGCAACATCTCAAAACAAGAAGTGGTTCGAATCCCACTCGTAGAAAAAGGTGTCCAAACTTGGTTAGCCCGAGAACAAGGATGACAAACACTAGAATCTGAATCAAAAGAAACTAGATGAACATCTCGAAGCTTGGTAAGAATGACGGTCGAAGGATGGCCCAAACGTGCATGTCATATAGTGCAGGAAAGTGCTAGAGCCTTCTCCTCGGCATTCGCCCGAGCTCTGCGACAGCCAAACAACCGCAGAAAGTATAAACCATCATGAATCTCCCCCTTCCCAATCACGTTCCTGGAGTGTAATTTTGTATAATACGGAAATCATCCAGAAATATTAAAGCATCATTGTGCTCTTGACAAAGGCAGTTGACTGATAAAAGATTGCATCGGAATTTCGGGACATGCAATACACGAGCAAGTAGTTCTGTAGCAGACCACCACCCAATTGGACAGACCCTCAACGTTTAACGGGAATGCTGGTCCTGTTAGGAATACGCATGGGTTGACTAGATAATCTAGATATATGTGAACTCAAGAGATTAGCATCCGTGGTTATATGCTCATTGCAACCTGAGTCAATGAGCCGCTCAGGTTCTTCGGTAAAGGAAAACTTACCAGCCATGTGACTAGAAGGATCGCTGACCCCTTGGAATTGTCCGTCAAAAACTTCCTTAGCTTCTCTAGTTGTTGTACAAAAAATCCAGACACTAGACTCGCGTCGGCGTAAGCTTGGGAAGCTCGTGGCTCACGACTGCATCTGCGAGATAACTCGGAATCCAACCCATTGTCGCGACTTGATTCTCGGCCAGTGCCAGCCTCCCGACCCGGCCTGTCCTTGCGACGATTTGGCATTTCCTCTAGCCTATCGCGCGATGGATAGCCAATAAGTTGGTAACATGTGTCGTGGAGATGACCATCTATTTGAGGCAATGGATGCATTGAAGACTTTCACGATCACTAGATCCACGATCTCGAGACGGACGAGCACCAGAAGAAAGCTTGTTCGCGTCCCCACTCATCGTAAATGCAACAGCTTCGGGGATTGGTTTTCGGTTCTGAGTGAGGGTCTTTTGTTGTTCATCAATATAGACAATTCGAAAAGTTTTAGGAAGATATGGAGGCTCAGCCATTGAAAGGGTGTGACTACGAACCGTAGAGAAAGAATCATCCAGACAAAGCAAGAAATCCAGTAGACACAGACTCTCATTCTAATCACGAAAGCGACGCCCACATGAACAGAGCGCGGGGGGGGGGGGGGGGGGGGGGGGCAGTAAAATTGATTGTGTCTCCTCCCATATTTTTCGCACCTTTGTATAGAATCTAGAGACAAACTGTTTTTCTTATTGGAGTAGACTCACATGACGACGTAACTTGTACGCCCTAGTCAAGTTTCCTTTGTTGAAGCGATCACCGATATCCTCTCAAATCTCCTGAGCCGTCTTTGCATGCATAACACTACTGTGTAGTTCCGCATCCATCGCTGTCCACAACCAGCCCTTGACTAGCGCATCACATCGCAACCAGACAAGGGATTGAGAACCATCAGTGGAACATGGGATAGACCTATCCACGAACCAGAGCTTGTTTTTAGTGACAAGAGCACCAGTCATCTCAAGGACCCATTCACCGTAGTTCATCGGAGTAAACAAACTGCTCACGTGGAGATGGTATGTGGAATCACAATTGTGGATGAAGAAAGAGCTCTGCACATCGAGCTCCTTGTCGCAGACCCAGAACTTGTCAACTTGGACAAAGGAAACGCCAGTGATGAAACCTCCTTCTCAGACATGACAACAATTTACAAGGATCACTACTCTGATACCATGAGAAAAATGATAAACCGCAAAAACAAGACGATATTGACATGGTATCCCTGATTACTAGGACTTGTCCATGGGAGAGATCAACTCTCCGACTGAGATATTATTACTTGAGTTCAATTGTGGTCGGCGGCCTTATAGTATGCTTTATACCCATACAACTATCATCAATTAGGTTAAAGCAACTAGGGCACACAAATACAACATGAGCAAGAGATGGTGTGGGCTTGTCTGTGTCGTGACAGACCGCATGTGAGATGGGCCGTTGGGTCATATGCAATATAGTAGTCTATAGCTCAACACTAAATATGGAGTTATCCCGCTTGTTAATGTAGATCGACTTTGTGAGTTGAGAATTTTCCACATGGTTTGGTTCTCCGAAGTGAAGTGACCTGCAAGAAATTTTATGTCTCCTGAGACATAAGTCATAGTGGAAAACTTGACTTAGCAGGAATCTGATCGCATCCCTTGATCATGACTATGGAAAAAATTTATTGACTCAACTCGATGCCTTTGGATGCTATGTGAAATAATAAATGATTTGAGTAAATATTATGTGAAAGTTAGACGGATTGGATCAAAACTAAAAAGAACAAAACGAAATACAATATCAAAAGGATCCTTCTATAATACCCAATCCAAGATCCACCACAATATATATATTGACATATTGAGGTAAACGAGTCAAATGGTAGTGGTCATCCTAACACCAAACACATCTTCTTTTTTATCCTTTGCACCTACATGTGCGTCCACCCATGTTCATAGGCGGAGGCAGACCTATTGGACATAGTCCCACGACATGGATAAGTTTTGGGAAGAAAAAAAAAACCTCATATATGCTTATACTAAGATTGGAACTCAACACATATAGGCGGTATAAGAGTGTTTTACCACTACACCACAAATCATCACTTGTTCATAAATTGTTTTTTTATCATGCTATAAATAAAATCCTAATTGGAATAAATACCCAATCGTGTCTCTTTTCTCTTTATGACGTTCATTTTTTGCCTAGCAACCCTAAAGTAGTCCAGTTGCAGCGGCGATTTCATTAGTTTTGATTCTACTAGTTGCAACTGGAAGTGTAGAAAGAGTATTTTCAGTTTTGAGTTATGTTACGAATAAACTTCGAAGTCTAATTGACAACCAGTTTGATAATCGTTATTAGTGTGATACATTAAAAGAGACTTGCTTATGAGTTTAGACAACGAATGTATTTTGCACTTCTCTCCGAACATGCTGCCAGGGCGATGGTGGATTGGGCTATTGCTCATGGAAAATTCGATAAGAATCAAGGTCTACAATGACTTAATGACAACCTTTGCAGGTTGTGAGCTGTTGCTCTGGCCTCTTTCTCATGATGGTTTGTTCATTCCCAGACTGGTTCCTTTGTGCTTCTTCCTACAGAGCTTGCTGAACAAGCTGGTGCAGAGCTCTCTATCCTTTTTTGCTGTTTTTATGGGTATACGGGGCTGGTCTGTTTGTCTTGACCCCTGCATGTCCCCTCTTTCTGTTTGGTACAAAAGCGGACTGATCCGCTCTTTATTGCTTTCTTTTCCTGCCGAGATCAATCCTTGTGATCTCTCCTATTTGTACTTTGACTATGGTTTTTTTTTCCTCGGGTTTTTTAACCTAGTTCATCATTATAAAAAAAACTCATTTACAAAAATGAAAACCCATCATAGTTATTTATGAAAACAATTAGAATACTAGTCAATTATTTTTGTATCTGTAAATACATTATTTGGATATTAGTAATTTTAGTTATAATTATTAATATTTTTGTATTTTGAAAAGAGAATACTGATAGTTTCAAATCATACTTCCACCACTTCCGGTGGAACCCTTCTCGTATATGTTCCTTCCAAAACCGTTCCCCTTGAGCCTCTCAACGTTGAATATCCACACTTGAACCGCGTTTCACTATTTGGTAACACATACAGTAACTGACAACACATAAAATAATACACATGCATAAAAAAAAAATACACTTTGGCTATAGGACGTGAATTTTGAACCGTGTATTTGAATTGTGCGTTCTTCTTGTGATTGGCGATGACTGATAATCCAATGGGATCGAGAATCTAACCCTTAAAACACTTCTTTATGTTCTTCTCCTCCTTTGGCCTTCTTATGCACACGTAGCATATGTCGTACACTCCTCACTTAGATTTTCATTTTCTTTTAAATATATAATAATATTATACTTCTTCTACCCATTGTTTGTTGTTTTACCTAATTCATCATTGTCATTTAGACAATTATAATACATCTTCTACTTATTGTTGTATTTCTCCAATGCCCACCCCTGAACTTTGTTTCTTATTGCGGTTATTCCAATGAGGAAAAAATTGGACCAAAATTGGTGTGGTGGGTCAAAGTAGGATGGCAACAAAACCCAAACCCACGGGTACTCGTCGGACCCAACCTGGTCAACGCGGGTAAAATTCGTGTTGACGGGTTTTGGGTCGGGTTTGGGTATAAACCTGTTCACTATTCACCGGGTTAGGTTGGGTTTGGATTTAGGTAAACCCGACCCATGGGTACCCTCCCACACCCATAGAGTTAATTTTTTCGGTATATCTAATATTTTGAACAACTAATCTTATTTATGTTTGTGGAGACATGTCTAATTTTTTCTTTCTAATTGTGTAGAATGAAGTTGATGTCATCGAGTGGAGAGTGAAGAAACTTAATTGAAAGGAAGAAGCTTTCAATTAATCATGTTATTTATGGATAATTTGTGATTTGCTTCAATTTTATTGAGTTTTCTAGATTGGTGTTAAACAATTTGTATAGTTAATTTGTGATTTGCTTGAATTTTTTAGAATGGTGTTTTATATATGGATAATTTGTATTGAGAGATTGATATTTGACTTTAATTTTTATAGGAACTTGTTATTGTAAATTTTTTACGAAAAAAACCCGTGGGTACCCATAAATCCACGGATACCCAGCGAGTTGGGTTGGGTTTGAGTTTTTCAAACCCAGTGTATTTTATCCCGGGTTTTTTTCACGGATAAACCGATGAGTTTGGGTTTGACAAAACCCGACCCATTTTCATCCCTAGGTCATAGGGTAATTAGTCGGCTGTAGCACGTTGGTAGTCCTTATTTCTTTGGTCCCAAAGTTGGGGCGTATGGTAGATAATATTTAATTAAGGCTTTCTTTTACTGCATTACATTTACGTGCAAAGAGAAAAAGATTCCATTGTAGTAAGTTCCAAGGCTCAGCTATTAGAGGTGGGCATCGGCCCGATCGAAGGACACACGAACCACAAATGTGGTCAAATCGAATCGTAATAGGTCATTTAAAATTTTCAAGTCCAACCCTTTTCCCATAATTTAGACACACATTAGAGAATTTTCATCGGTCCATCCGTTGGTGGAAACTGATCTCCGATTGCTATGGTTGAAGATTGCTGAAAGGCAGAGTATGGAGGGGGAGTTCCATGATGAAGGGGATACGAGAGGGACAGCAAGCATGCGGTCCGTATTGACATGCGATGTTGTGCGATCTGTATTAATGTGGTTTGATCGGCATCACCGTATAGACACCCGTATTAGCTATGCATTTTACCATTCTCTATATCTCTACATCATACACACCACCAAACCGAGACATTGCACATATTTATCACATCATGTACTTTTAACAATTGTTAAAAAAATTATCCATTTACAAATTACAGTCAATTTTTCTCATGAGACGTTTTCCCCTCTTCAATTTAACATATACTCTTCTTACAGGGTTAAACGTCCTTACGTGTTTCTTAATCGTTGGGACGATTTTGAACGGTTGTGAATTGGTGAATGTACCTTTGCTTGAATAGGAGAGTGGAGAAAAAGATGTGTGAATTGAAATTGCCCCAAAGTTGCTTCACAAGAATCCCAAAGCAGCTTCCAACCCTTCATCTTTCTATTCTTCTCCATCAAACCATCGTGGGCCTTTGCCCTACTCTGTTTATAATATTCTTTGTTTCTTTCTTTTTGGTCATAAGAAGCAATAATTAATCAGTTAATTAATTGATTTCAAATATTTGGCACTGTCCCGAGGGAGGATTAGGATAGGACATAGGAGGGTTGAATTTTCCAAGCAAATTAGAGTTGGGGGAAATTGGACCCTAAACCTGTCCTGATGGGCAATTACTCACACATTGACATCTTTGGCGCAATGTCATCCATAACGTAATATGCTTCATCATACCTATATTCTTTTCTAGTAGTTTGGAATCATGACCGACGACAAGAAAATATAAAAAAGGGTTTTAGGCAATGGTTTAGAAAAGTTATTTTACCGATGGTAAGAACCGAAAATATTGGATATTGGACCAGATTGATAGGTGATTTTAGCGAAAGGAAATGGTTAAATCACAATTTTAGTATAAAGTACTTTATTATTGTCCTTTTCGATATGCCCTCCAATACGACTTAACAATTATTGATTTTAGGGTTTGGAGATAAAAGCCGTTATATAGTAGATGAGTTTTAGAAAATATAACTTGTGCAATTTTGGAATAAAAAAAGTTTATATAGAGTACAAGAATTACACAAGAGACTTCCACATAATTTAGATATTATATAATAAAATATAATATAATTACTTCTAGTCTATGTTTAACACTTCATTCTTCGAATGAAGTAACCAAACAATAGTATTTTTTTTTTGCGTTATTATTGGTGTCGCTGAAATACGGTTAAGGACGGGGTATATAACCAGATCTGTCCCTTTGTTTTTATTAGGGGTGTTCAAATGGTTACCATGTTTATAACCAAACCAAATAAGGCTAAATTTCATTAACCATGGAATACAATATCATAACCAAACCGTCCAAACTAATACAACAACCAAATTAACCAAACTAAAGTTTAATCGGTTTGGTTAATTGGTTAACCAGATTAACCAATATAAAATCACATTATCATTGACGATGAAAATTTTTCGGGTAATGCAACAATTCGTAATTTATATAATGAATAAAATATAACAATCAACACGTAGTTATAGTTGACCCTTAACAAAAATACATGCAACTAAAACAATTATTTTACGATTAGTATAGAAGTATTCACCTAACAAAAATTTATGACAATGGTATGGGTTAAAGAATTGTTGTGTTTGTGTAAATTGACTTAGTCTCTTCGCAATTATCATAGGCCGGAAATAACCTTCCTTTCAAGTTTTCATCCATCATAATGTATGAAATTTATCTAAATTAGGCGTTCATATATTGTGGTCTACACTTTACATATACAAATATATACTATATGAGCAATATTGAGCTTTATATTTTATGAGTCTAAAAGGGATGAACGTTAACTCTTGAGTGGTTATGCAAAGTATTAAGTATGTGTATATAATATATGTTAGATATATGACTAATTACTTAACTGGTTAATTTGGTTTGACTGGTTAAGAGTGTCTGAAACCAAACCAAACCACCTAAACCAAACAAGCTAAAAACTTTAACCAAACCAAATCAATTATACAAATTAACCAAACCAAATTATCAAAATAGTACTAGTTAAAACGGTTACCACGGTAACCAAACCGTTTAAACACCCCTAGCTTTTAGTGTGGTTGGATCATTTTATTTTTTGTATATTTAATTGATTTTTATGTTCTTTGTTTTAACTCAAATTTCAATTTTTTGTAGAGTTAGAACAAGTTCATTGTGATCTACAAAATAATATCCAATTAAGATATATTTTGAGGAAATTTTTTATCTAAAAGTTCAAAAAAATTAAGTAGAAGGAATTAGTTTAGCATCATTGATAGATTCCGATATATTGCTTGAAAAAAATTCAATACACTCTATACCACTTTGGTATATGATGTTAAATAGTTGTAGATGGTGGTGGAATATGGTTGATGGTGGTTAATATATTTTTACTATCATTACAATCATTCTATATTATGATACATTCATACCACCACGATACGATTTTATGTACTGCCAAAATTACCACCATAATACATTTTCATACTATCATGGCATGTTCTTATGCACTATAGAACATTACCACAATGATATATACCGTTAATATATGTTTTGAATTTTTTATTTCAAAATATATCAAAGTCAATGTCATTTCCATCGGTACAATTAATATATTTTTTCCTTCAAAAATTTTAAACTTTGAATGGAAAAGAAAAAGATAAACTGATTAAATTTAATAGAGAAAAAAATAGCATTCAATCACCAAAATGTGGTTATTGGCCCTCAGTGCCGGATCTAGGGGGTGGCCACCCCGGGCCACGGCCCAGCTCTCTCCTGGATCCGAAGTTAGTGTAGCCTTTATGAGTTTATCAATTTTTAGTCATTCGGCTCAGTGTTATTTTATAATAAAATTGTGTGTAATTAGAAAAATGAATAAGATGGACATATTCAAATTACAGCTCTAAATTTAGCCTGAAAATTCTAGCTCCAATGATTCTCGTCTAAAGAAAAACAAACAATGAAACCTAAAATTCTAAAACGTAAAAGACTAAATGAAATATGAGGTTTATTCCGTTAAGAAATTACTAGAGCAGCTATGATAAAAGGAATTGATACACAATATATATTGATTAGTCGATTGATTTGTCTAGTGTTGACATTGCTCGTTTCAACAACTACTATGGAGAGAACCTTTTCAACAATGAAATAGGTGAAAATTTATTTGCACAACAAATGAATGATGAATTTCTCGCCAATTGGTTAACTATTTTATCTTAAAGAGAGTATGCTATTGGTATGGATGTAAACTCCATTATTGATGAATTCACTATATTAAAATTTAAAAAATCAATGTGTACAATTGATATTGCAAAAAAATTGTATTTTTTTACGGAATCTAATTTTCTAATAGAATGCGGCCTAATGTTCTACTGTGTCCTGAATCCGCCTCTATTGGACCTTGAAATACTTAGTTGATGTCAAAACATGGTTTCTTGGCTAATTGAGAAATTACTTTTCTGCACTAATTTGGTAATTTTAGCACCTTTACAGTAAAGAAAGGTAAAAGTTGAGCAACTGCATGGATACTTTTGTCACGTCCCGTGCATCATAATTACCTGACTTTCTGCGTGTGTGTTTTTTTAGAATTAATGGCATTTAGTTTGGATTACAAACGATAGCATAGCACTTCTACTATACTAATTTGATGTACAAAATGAATCTGCACTATAATATTAAATGTATAAGTTCAGTTTGTATTATACAACAAATTTTTTACAAAAATATATACACACACTGAATTTGCATATATATATATATGAATAGTTAGCGGCATGATATTTTATGCTGAAACAATGGTTTAAATATTTCTTACCGCTAAAAAGCACCTACCACATAGACTCCAATTTAGGTCAAACCGTTAATACGATACTATATCACAAACATCGCGCTGAATACGGGCATTAAAGGTGGTGGAAGAGAATAGGAAATTGGCATTACTATATGAACGGCGGGGAAAAGCTGTATGTGTATTGTATAAGGCTGATTCGATAGCGCTCTCTCTCTATCGTCGATCCGTAGCTAGAAAGAAAGATAGAGCATTTTGGTTTACTTTGCATATTGGCCACCACACAAGGCTATTCTGATAACAACACGCATCACATAAATTAGAGAGGAGAAAAGGGGCGGCCAAAGAAAAGGAAGTTGTTTCGCTCAACAAGCGATGCAAAAGCTGCCGCAAGAGAACCGCTCCCCTAAAGAACACAAACATGGCAAAAAAGAAGAGGTTAACCAAAAACAAACATATTGAATCAGTCTTTGCAGTTTGCACAACGCAAGGGGCAAAGAAGCTCATCAGAATGATGCCGCTTCATTTGAACCCCGTCAAATTCAATACAGGTTCGGCTCGTTGTATAGAGCTATGGTTTTCGCATCTCCACATCGGTAGCTAATCAGACAAGGATATATGTCATGATTTTTACTATCAATAAGTTGCATGGCTATGCACATAAATTTCTAAGATAAATAAATAAAAAGATAGATTTTGATAGAATTGGAGACATAGTTTAGAAGGACTAGAGAATAGAATTAGAGATTCAGACGAAAAGAAGGGTCGTTTGCTACGTGGATTTGAAAAATGAAGATTTTATTAACACCCGATGAGTTTTGAAATTGTCTTTTATTGTCCTCATTGGTATGAAAAAAGAAAGAAAATAAAAGAGATAATTGGCCACAAACGATGAATTTCAAAATCTCAACCCTCAAAATTCGGGAATCTCACATATTTGTTACTTTCAAATACATGAAGGAAACAACCCTAGGAGGATGCTATGTTTTGCTGCATTAATAAATCATTGAGTTGTAGAAAGAGAGGCTTTGACGAATGCAACCCTTTCTTCCTCCAAATTCATTTCTTCCCCCCATCTCCCTCTCTCAGCATATTGCATTAATAATTGGCACCCACAAACAAAAAGTGTCCCTCCCATAGTCCCCATATGTCAGTCCCTCTCCCTCCCCCGATACATAAAAAGCATAAACAAAACCAAATTTCCACCCTACCATTGCTTACTACATAACGCACCCAATGTTTGTGTGTTTTTGGGTATTTCTAGGTGTCAACCATCTAATCTAATAAATGCTTTGCTTATGCACCCAACCAAACCCCACCTCACAGCTCATGTAATGACCTCTTTGCTTTTAGCTACAGCCTCTAATACGATTTTACAATCCGGAGGAGCAATCAGACGGTCCGGTCCAAACAAACCTGTCATATGGGTGGTAAGTTCTCTATATGCAAGACCACTTCAAATGCTTGATCCTGTGGTTTATTTGAATAAGAGAAGAGGCCAACCAAATCTACTGTTCCTGCCCATCAATCCTTTATCCTACCCTAGGCTTGAACAACATCAACACACAGAAAAGAACATCATGCACATTTAAGAAATTCATCGTGAAAATTGGCACAGCTGTAGGGTGTTTCCCAACCACATGGGGACTTTCTTTAAAATAAAAAAGAGGACGACTTGGGAAACTTGAAAGCTAGCTAGCAAGGTAGCTGCCTGCCTGCCACCACTGCCAGCTTAATAAAATGAAAATATTACTAACAAAGCAACAAACTTCACCTTCCCGCTGCTCCATAACTTACCCCATCCGCCAGCCGCAGTATTGTCATGTGCATTACCACCGCATTCACATTGTCACATGAATGTAAAGACTAACTTGAACCCTTCCTTTAGGGTAACTCTGTAACTGCAGCAACAGGGGAATTAACCCCAGGAGCCCAGAAAATAAGAGATGGCTAATATGATGTTCATTCAATTGCCCTGTCACATAAACCATGGTAGATTATGACTATTATCCAACAAAGTACAAGCAAAGAACTCATATGGGTTGGTGTGAGATCCAAGCTACTTTCTTCCGTTGTAGTGATTTGCCTAACCAAGGTGAGTCATAAGCAAATGACATCTAAGGTTTCTGATCCAAGGGCCTCTCTAAGTAAATAATACCCAGTGCAGTAGCTTGTTACAAATGTAATATACTAACAAACCTATAAGCAGGGCAATTTGTGAGGCGTGATTTCAGTCATTGATGCAAAGAACTGAGATCACTGCACCAAAACAGCAGCCAGCACAAGATGGTAAACCCAGATAGAAAAGGCAGCTTACAGAAGTGAACAACTCTTCTTCCCCCGTTCCTCCCGTTTCATCTTCTCACAGAGTACAATTCAACATATCACAACCCGTGAATGAGGATCGGTGTGTTGCAGGCTTGAGAAAAAATCTGCACAAGAACAGCAAACATTGAACCATGTTGTCTATTGTTTTCTCCTGGATGAAAACTGGAATAAGAGCTTATGAAGTTGAAAGCTTACCTCAAGCTGCAGTTTCATCTAGCCATGATGTATGTCTCCATTGAACATTGAAATTTGAAAGTAATATCATAGTTCGCTTGAGTGGATGTACAAAGCTTGGTTCTTAACAGTCTCATCATGTTTTTCCCTTACAAAAGGGATTAAACAGTCTCATTCCAGTACATGGATTCTAGGCAAATGGAGCAGCCTATTGGCTTGGACTAATATCCACAAGTTCAACAGAACTAATCCCTACTAATGTGTTTCCCTTGGAAGATCGACAAGAAGATCATCCAGTTCTATGTAATCTCCCTCCATAATGGTTAGTAACTGCTCGTGAGGGTGCATGTCAGGGAACAAGTTTCCTCCAATAAGCCCAGGATTCCGAACCTGCAGACAAGACATTAACAATTTCCTCGATCAGGAAAATTTTAAGTTTCGCAAACAGAGCCAACGGTATAGCCAATTACACAGTTTCCCAATTTCACTAGCTACAAAAATGTTAAAAACCAAGGACACAGAAAAAGCAAACTTGATTAGAGTGATATTTGAATGCAAAATTCATGCAAAATTAAGGTCCATTGAGATGACTGCAGCATGTGCATCTACTAGTTGCAGGGATTATACTCCTTGACCAATAATTTGATAAAAGCAACACATGCACCATACACTAGAGACTTTTTAGAATCAAGGAACGCCACCAACTGAAATAAAGCATTTACAATGAAAATATAACGATTGTCGCAGTGTGGAAAAGAAGCACACCAGCTCATTTAGTAGGTGCTGATATCTGGGATTAGAGCCTGGAAAATTCGTGACTGCATCCTCCAGCTCATTGTTCTGCCTCAAGAAGTGCTCTGGCAAATCATTCTTTTGCTCATCAGAATTTTCTTGTGGCACAGTGGTTTCAGTAATACCAGGTGAGCCAAGTCCATCACATTGGACGCCAATGTGGCGTAATGCAGAAACACTTTCTTCAGCACACGAACTTAACAGATTCTCAGACACACTAGTTCCACCACGGGTCTTAACGAATACTCTACACAAGACAAAAGAAGCCTGCATGATGCAAACAGATTCAAAAAATTTAGCAACACTCAACAAAATACAGTTAGTATCAATAAGCTTATTCTCAAATCAAAGGCATAGTTTGAGGGACATTTAATTCAAGGAAAGGGGAAATTATTCTAACATGATATATCCATTTAGAGCAAAGGGAAACATTGCCATTTCAAGGTATCTTCGTGGAGTGAGGAATAAACCCTTTAGAGCAAATACTTCCAACAGACCAAGCATTGACAAAATAACAAACAGGTGTACCACTATTCTCAAGACATACAACTTTCATTCAGATTAGAGACTTCAAGTTCACTTCACTAAGTTCAATTACGGCAATAACTCATGACCTAACTTTCAAAACCAATTTGCAGTCTGCGGCTATCACCGCACAAACCAATCTTTCCAGAAAAGGGAAAAGGAAGCTTGAAGCTCCAACCCAAATCATGATTTCAAACCAATCACACTCTACATCGCGATCAATTGCCCTTAAAAGGTTCCAAGAAACACGAAATTTTACCTTGGAGTGATCAATCAGCGCGTATTCGTACAACACCCAGTCAGTCCTCAGAGCACTCTTCATAGAATTCCCCAAATAAAACACAAATCGAGTCCTGGTACCAACAACCGCATTCCCGGTGGCGTCCGCCACGTCTCTAACCTTACCAATCCTTCTCCAATACCCTCCCTTGGCGCGCCTCCTCCCATCACCCCTGTTTCCCCCCTTCGAAACCCTAACTTTCGCGTAACAGAACCAGTGCTTCTTCATCCCCATTGAACCGTACGAATAACAGGAATCCCCCGGCAAATCAAACGGCTCGTAATCATACAAGTCGAGCTCCTTTATCAAATCGTATCCATTGCCATCATCCCCTCGATAGTCGCTTTCTACGTCGTTCTTCTTGGACAGGTAGTAACACAGCAGCTGCTGGTCGGAAGGGTAGAACCGGCAACCCGGCGGGAGAGTGAACGGCATCTAATTTCAGCGCTTTGAAACGAATAATTTCAGAGGTTTTTCTGCCGGCGAGACGAGACCGAGAGCAATCGCGCGGCCGGAGCAGAAAAGAGCGAGAGAGAGAGAGAGAGACAGGGGTTTAGAGGGGCTTTGTATATATGGAAGAAACGAAGCTTGTAGATGAAGCTTTCTTCCTCCGTTTTATAGTCCGTTCCAGTGTGACGGAGGAGTACGGTCTGCACGAGTGTTCCCGCAGCCAAAAACGCGGGATGGTGATGTGTCAAGATATCATTGGCTGAGTTGTGTAATAATGGTTGACGGAGATTGGGAAACATGGAATTTGGAAAGAGCGGAGGTTAGTTGTACAGCTGGCGCTGTACGAGTGCACGTAGGATTAAAGAGCCACGTCAGGCTGTGAGGTGTCGTGTTAATTTGTGGGGATGATGTTGTCATATCCGGTCATAGCATGCCACGTGGATGGTTTGAGATTTGAATGCAACACTTACGGGGCATAAGAATATAGGATAATTAATTATACTAGCTTATAACCCGGCCCATTGGCCGGAATGTTTTTATTCGATTATTTTTATTTTTATGTTATGTTAAGTCAATCAACCGGTTTAATTTTATTGACAATCCTTCGATTGAGATGATACATAAAGAAAGAATATGTAGGTCTAACATTCAGAGAAATACCATCATCATTTAAGAATATAAAATATAAAATGTATCATTAATTTCATTTTCATAATGATAATTAAGTCATCGTTAAAATACTATTGGTTAGTTGATTGTCAAAAAAGAGGGTATAAAAGCTCAGTGAAATTCCACACGGCCATTAGATAGTTTGAAACTAAATCACCTCACAATCCTACATAAGGGTTTAATGCGCTCCATTAATGAACAATATGTCACTAATCAAAAAGAAATGGAGAGTTGTTGATTCAAGTCAACTATATACTAACAACTCAGCTAAGAGGGGATCATCAAAACTTGAGAGCAAACGACAAAATTAGGGTTATCTCCAACATACTAATAGACTCAATCAAAGTAATAATGCACAAAATTACACACTCCTTGTCTATCAGTTCCAGTAGGTTGAATAAAGAATCGACCTACTTCAATAAATCAATCAATGATTCCTCGTTTTAAGATATAAATAGGTTGTGATAGATGTAAAAATCATAAACATAAAGATCCAATAGCCACCACTCTTCATTGTACAACCAAATTTTTATCTCAAGAGACATATGTTTCAACCAAAAATTCAATTTCGAATCCTCCTTCTGCAACTCCATTATTGATTAAACTCTTTTACTTGCCCAACTTAAATCCCCAACAATAAAACCGCGTGCCAAGAGATACCGAATGATCGATTTTCAAAGGTCGCCTTGTACTGGGAAGTGAAAGGGGCGCAAACTATTGTACGATGGAGGAAATTTTTGAGGAAGTTAGAAAGAGATAAAAACAAAGATAAAAACCACAAAATTTAAATTGAAAAATGCAAAGACACAACACATAGTGACAAAATTAGTTTTTTCCATGTTAGCCAATTACCAATTTACCTTTAGCAAAAATTAAGGAGAGAGAAAGAATTTTAAAATTGAGAAAATTACATGAAACTCTACTATGAAAATTGAAGTATCAATCACCATAAGAAAACATACGCTATACTTAGTGGGCTTGCTAATCATGATGGAAAGTCCTGCGATTTTCAGAGAGTTGAACTTCGTTTATATTTTGTATTCAAAATGACACAACAAATTTGTTTAGTGTAAATGGTTGTGATTGTTGTCTTTGTTTGAAGAGACATGGGTTCAAATCCTGATGTTGATATTTTTAATGTGAGATAAATAGTTAATTGTAAAGACAAAAATATCCTTCCTACTTTTACTCTCGTTGCAGGAAATTTGAAATAGAGAAAAATACACAAAAGTGTACTATATATTATTGGGGATGAATAATACGGTTATCTACTTTGCATATTTTCCAAAATAACCATATACTTTAAATCACTCATTGCTCAAATCGTAGCCTTCGTATGTTTTATTGTCCATTAATCTCTCAACCCAATCGAACAAATCAATGTGTAAAATGTAATCAAAGTAAGTTATGCTCTAAATGTTGGATTTCTCATCTCGACTGAGTTAGTTAAGATGAGTCATGAAAAGAACAAGTTCAAAACTAGGATCAATTCTTTTTTTATATTCTCTTGTGGTCGATCGAGCTTCTTTCCGTGTGCGATAAATGACCCACTAATAAGAATCTGAGATCAAAATGTGAAGTAGCATTAATCTCGGTAGCTACACTACCTTTAACAAGTTTAAAGGCGCATGAGTCATATATTCTGCAGAAAGCCTTTTTATATTACAATAAGTTTCATCCACTGATAGTGTTACAAAATGAGTATTAACCCAAAGAAAGACTACAAACAAGACAAACAAGAAAAAGGAGAACCCACCCATTAAAGTCAAAACATTGTGTATATACCCTTCAAAAAACAAACAACACAATGAGTAAATAAACATGGAACTTCCCCAAACACTAGCTAAAGCTGTAACTCCAAGGAAGTCTGTCGCTACCACTAGAATCTTCACCCACATCCTAACTTTGCAAACCAACACCTCCAGATCAAAGATAAAACAACAACTTCAGAGACAACTTGAAAGATAGAAAAGGGAATACGCCAACCCATACGGAGGATGGGTAGTAAAAGAGCTATAGAACCTACGAGGTACACCTAAATCTAGTCTCTACCCAAGCAAAGGTGGACCATTCACCACAAGAAACTCTAAACGAAAATGTGAGAGGATGAAACCAGTATGATGGGTGGTCGACACCTGAATCATGAAGATCGAGTCTCTGTATTCTCATCTTTATCTTCATCCAAGCCGAATAAGAAGGATGACTACAAGTATCTCCGAATCACTAGGATTATCTGGGTGAATCAAGGAGGTAGATGAAAGAAAAGAAAATTAGAAGATGATCTTAGAATAAAATTAGCCATCCTTTGACACCACAAACAAAAGGTCTCCATATATGATGGATAAGAATAGAGAATGAAAGATAAGCATCTCAAAAAAGAGATCGAAGAAGAGATTCCAAAAGCATAATAGAAATCAAAATTACAGCGACAAGAAGCGACAAGGAAGTAGTTGAAATAAAAGATGTGAAGCTTCCACCAGTCACCGTAGAGACACCAACAACAACCCGATGATCAATAGAGAAGGCATATAGTTTATTTTCCACAGAGAGACGACTATTATTTCTTTGTCTGTCCTTAATAATGTTACTTTAGCCCAAACCATTTGGACCCCTTAAAGGTTCAACTAGGAAGCACACTTATAAAAAAAAAAAAATCGTATGGTACACTTTCACCCTCCAAATATTAATTTTCAATTAAGTATTTACCCAAATCTATAGCTTCCTTGAGTTGACCCCACATCAGCCGTAAGACGGTGGTGTCTAACTTGAAAAGTAAAAGTTTGAGTTTGAGAAGCTTCTAGTCTAGTGAGTTCGTATTACGACCTTCCTTGTCTCTCAATGCTTAGAAATTCATCGTAAGTTTTTCTTTTGAAACTCACTCTCAACTTTATTTATTTGCTTTAAAACTATGTCATCGGGTCCAGATCCTGTGACTAGGGGGTGCTTAGTCACTTGACTAAGCCCCTCTCAGCCCTTAGATCTGGATACAACAATCTGACGGTTAAAAAGTGGGAAGAACTATTTAATTAATGACAGAGGTAGTTTGGGAATTATGGAAAATTACGAAGTATACAAACCGGACTTACAATCAATACAAACCATACGAACAATAAAAACTAGGGCGATAAAACATACAAACAGATTGACAAACAATACGAAACATACGAACTATACAAATAATACAAATTAGACCGACAAACATTACAAAACATACTAACCGTACAAAATGACACTACTTACAAAATGGCACTACTTACAAAATGGCAAAACAGTAAACTTGTATTACAAATCAATGAATACAAAGTATACAAATCACAACATAAAGTATACAAACTAGACAAACAAACATTACAAATTACAATGTATACAAATTAATCATATAAACATTACAAACATAATAGATAAAAATGACAAACTAGAACGATAAACGATACAAACCGAATTGATACAAAATCACATAACATACTTACAAACATTACAAAATCGTCCGACAAACATAACAAAACAGGCGATGTCGTCAGAAAATCTCCCATCGCCGAAAAATCCTCTTCGGAGTCGCCGGGAAATTCACCGGGGACGAAAAACCTTCTCTCTCCTGCTTGGGAAATTCCCAGGAAAGGAAGCAAATGAAGCATGCATGTTCCCAAAAATAGGATAGAACTGCCGTCAGAAACTTGGCTCACCGGCGCAAACGAGGGAGGACGGTGACTGGCGGGTGCAAGGGGACAGAAATGTAGCGCTTGCAGATTTTTTATTTATTTTATAATAAAAAATAAACATGCAATTATCAAATTGTCCTTCATTAAATTGGATTAGTTGGAGCCTTTAAATTTTAATGAGGTTGAGTGACTGAAATTCACTTAGCCAGTTAACCATGTGACTTAAAGGACTCACCTGATCTTGGCCCCTATGTCATGTTGCTAATGTAAAAATCTTATCAACGTTTGTAAATACTAAATAGTAAATCACAATCACAATTGAACTTGGGTATCGCAAAAAATTAGGTGCTATATTATAGCTCTCTGTTAATTTCTTCACTAAAAGATTTATAATCAGGAAATCCACAACATTAGACAAGGAAATTCATAAGTAGTTACTAATACTTTTTTTTGGGGTCAACTTATTATAGGCAAAAAAACAAAACTCAATTGGAAAAGCGTATATGAACTATCAAGATACGCAGCTCATGAACTCCTCATCAGATTCCAGAGCCGCCATCGTCGCCGGCGGGAGGCAAATCTCCAAATCCACACTCCCGCCGCCGTCCCGCCCCGGATACCCGGTCACCTTCCCACTAAACTTGTTCGCGTACCCGCTCCGCAGCGCCACCGCCTTCCCCAGCCCGAACTCGATCCCATACTTATCAAACCTCGGCGAGCTCCCCATCATCACACTGTCCGTGTCGAACACCTGCTCCATCCGGTAAACCACCGGCGACTCCAACCACGCCGACACAAACCCCTTGATCTTCTCGTCGCTGTGCCCTACCACCGCCTCGTGCAGCCGCCACGCCGCCCACCCCAAATCGTTCCTCAGCAGCTCCCCCACCGCGGCGGAGGTCCTCATCGGGTTAATCGAGTTCCCGAAGTAGTCGGGATGCAGGGGAGGGTTCATCCTTCCCCTGTTGTTGGTCGCTAGCCGGCAGCCGGTAATCTTCTCGGCGGGGAAATTCCGTGCCCTAGTTATCCCCCGCCAGACCAAAGCGGATAGGGATTGGAATGACGAGATCTTGGTTGTCCCTGATTGGTAATTGGTTTTCGATTTGATTTTAGCAATCGATTCGGCCGAGAAGTGGAAGAACCGCTCGAGGAGTTTGGGGGATTCGTAGCGGCTAGGGATTTGATCCGCGGGGAGAGGGATTATTTGGTTGCAGCCTTCGGGGAACCACCGGTTGTTCACCGGGGGTCGAGAAATTGGGGTTTTTCCTCGATACGTTTCGGACAAGGCGGTGAGGAAATTCCAGAAGGAGGTCCCGTCGCCGACGGCGTGATTGAAGGAGCACCCGATGAAAACTCCGTCGATTAGCTCGGTGACTTGGATGGTGACGAGGGACATGGTGTGGCCGTCGTGATTGATGGCGCGATCGTGGTCGAAGAACGATTGGACGACGACGGGGACGTAGGTCGGTGACAGGACGTCCGAGATTGTCAGATCTGCGGCGGCGTGGATCAATCGGGCGCCGGGGCTGTTCGCGCAGTCGATGGAGACGACGTAGGAGCCGTCGTCGTGGGGGGAATTGGTAGTGACGAGGCGGCCGGCGAGTGGGTAGAAGTGGGAGAGGGTTAAGGAGAGGGAGTGGTTGATCCGGCGGAGGAATTCGGCGATGTGGAAGCCGGCGGAGGGTTTGGGGTAGAGGTGGCCCTTTTGGATGTAGTGGACGGAGAGCATGAGGAGGTCCCAGGGAGGTAAGTGGATTGGGCGCTCCATTTCGTCGGTGGTGATGTGAGGGCGGACGAAGCGGTCGGAGATGTGCTTGACGGTGGGTGAGTCCATGGCGGCAGCGGGGATGATTGGCCGAATTTGAATTTGGAGGAGTTTGGGGAATTGGTAGGAGTGGAGAGGAGAGCTAAAATAGTGAGAGCTAGCGGACTTTCACCCAAGGTTGTCAACCCGATTTAACCGTTATTTCGATTGAGTAAGTGAGTAAAAGATCAATGGTCTGATTATTTTAGTTTGGTTTAGCTAGCTTGAAAATACATTTAACCATGCTTCATAATTGAAAAAGGAGCACCATGAAAATACATGTCACTCAACCATATAAAGTACATGATCCAATATATAGTAAAAATTCAAATACACTTAAATTTATTATATAAGTTTGTGATTAACACATTGAATGAACTTGAGCGGCCTGTGAAAGTAATGCAAAGTGGTATTCTCGAATGAAAGTTTGTTGATTGATTTTACCAGTTTTGATCGAGTGAAACGTGTTGACGAATGCAAGACGAAGTTCCAAACAAGTGTATGAAACTTTTTTTCCCCACCAGAGTCCAGGTCAACCCGCGGTTCGACCCTTGGTTAACAACCCTGCTTTCACCAACTCCTTTCCGTGTTGATCACGATTTGGCTTCTTGGTGGTGGGAATTTTCTAATTTTATATTCTTGGCCAATCCCTCATTCATTTAATTAGGTTCTTAATTTTCTTAATTAAGTCCTTAAGTCAATATAAACACATTGAGGTGACCACCTCTAAACTACAGCAAAGTCTTTCGAGGAGGTTGGAAGCCCTTTTCAATGGAACAGAGCAGGAAATTGCGGTGAAGGTGAGGGTCGAAGCGATTGGTTCCAAGTTTTTATATATGAAGTATTTATTTGGGAAACAAGTCGCTACGGCCAACTCCTTTTTACTCTCGGATTATTGTCTTGGATTGTCCAGTCCTCACCAACACCGCGGTTGGTAGCCAAGACTTTGCCTAATCAAAATTGACTTGTTCTCTATATAGTTGTTGTAAATGAGTTGAGATGTTATGTTTGACTCGACAAAATTTTGTTTGAAATCAGTAAGTCGAGTTTGAGTTCATCTTCATTTTGTTGGTGAGTCTCGCGAGCCAGCTTTATTCGGTGGCATCACGAGCTCAATTTGTGAATTGGCTCGATAGTGTGATTAACGAGCCAACTCGTTTATCGACTGATGATTGGTATATAATTTATGAGTTGACTTATTTGATAATTCATAAGTTTATTCGATTATATATCTCATCATATATAAATTTCATTAATAATTCTAAAATGAGAGGAAAGAGATGGTGGGTTGTATTAAGGGATGGTTTTAAACGAGTATGGGTAAGTTTGAATCCACCAGTGTGGGTGGGGGGAAGGAAATGACTCACACAAACTCAAATATGTACATGAGTGGGTTGGGTTGGTGTGTTTAACAACATACATTCCAAATTCAAATTGTCATCAGCTTAAAATGAGAAAATTTAAAGCTAAACAACCTTTAATCTATAAATGAGATGTGTCATTCAATTCACAAAACCACTACTTGAAATTGTTTATAAATCACCAAAAATATACTCAAACTAGTAAACATATTCAAAGCATGGGCAATTGGTTTCCCTTTGGCAAAAGCATAAAATTAGGTTTTTTGGAGCTCGAATTGAGATGGAGAGGAATTACACAAGGCAATGTATATATAATTTTCAGTTATTGAAACAACCGTAACAGTAAAGATATTGTGGGATCTTTTTATCGAAACTTGGAGTTCATCTTTTGGTTAAATAGACAAACTTAAAAGTTTGGCTGGTTTGAAGATAAAAGAATGAATGAGCCATGAGTCAACCACATTACACTTGCATCCACTCAATTTCTAGTCAGTCATATTTTACAACCAACACTCACCCAAAAAACCATCTACATAATATTGATCGAGTTTGCATTTTAGTTTGCGGATTCAGTGGATTCAACCACCCAACCAACCCGTGCTCAGCTCTAGATTGTATGAACGGGAGCAGAGAAATAAGCATTTCTAGGCAGTAAGAAAAGGCACAAGGTAGGAAAGGATGCAATAGGGATCATCTGAAGATCATTGTTAATGCAAAGTTTTCGAGTTTCGCTACCTCTAGGTTGGAGAAGCAACGAAAGCAGTGGGACGCCGCTTGATCAACGAGACAAGCTAAACCGGAAATAAAACGCTAGAGATAACAAACCAATGGTAGTTTACGGGAAGTTCAAACCCAAAATTCCGCAGACCAACCAAATTCAGAAGAACACCAACTTGAAAATAGAAAAAAGTATTGCATCCTAAAACATGACTGAACAAAACGAGTTTGGAAACCAACTCAAAGCACCGCACAGGAAAGACCCAACAGAGTTCCGAAATGTCGAAAAGAGAACGAACCCTCTTTGCCAACAAACGAAAACGCCAAATAAAAAGTGTCTCAACGGTGGTGCAACACTCCTTGCACTCATTATTCATCCATTCACGAAGGTGTACTCAGCTTGCGACTACTCTAGGGCACAATCCCATCATTCAGGTTCAGCGAAGAGAGCTGATCAGCCGCGTTGTTTGCTTGAGGATGAGCGGCAGCAGACACGTTCCTCAGCACGTCCATTGCCTCTGCTACTTTAGCCTTCAGGGCCTCCGGCGACTCGAGCAAGTGCAGGACCTCGGTCTGATCCATCTCCAGAAGCATCCCGGTGACCTTGGCAGCCGAGTCATGCTCCAGCTGCTCCACCAGTGGATACAGACTTTCACCCAGCAGCTGCACAATCGCAATAGGTTTCAATCTATGCACCAAATTGGCAATCAAGATGTAACAGAGAAATAAGGCAGCAGCTAAAAAAATGACTTACAGTTCGCTGTTGTTCAGGAGTTGAATTGGCAAGGGCTGATGCAAGAGCCGTGATGGGCATAGGTTGCCCCCCAGCTGCAGCCTCACGCATACCCATGCCGCCCATGTCGTAAGGAACAGAGATCATGCCTCCACCTTGCATGGGAACTTCAGACATGTTGCGACCAGGAGGGTAACGGTAGCCACGTCCACCCCTAGGCATCATCTGCAATTTCGAACAAAACATACTGTTTAGTATTTTATTTTACAATGAGAAACTTGTATTTAATCAAATATGATGTAAGTGATTCATTTATAGAAACCGACCTGCTGGGGCATCATGGGAACCGGCTGTTGCGATTGCTGCACTGGACCTCCACGACGGCCACCAGGGCGTTGACCTTGCTGACCCTGGACAACGAAGTAGTTTGGCATGGGACCACCGCCCGGCCTCATCCCTGGCACAAGTTGTTGCTGGTAGCCAAACCCACCCTACATTATTCACCAAAGTAGTCAGAAAGAAAATTTTAAGTTTATAATGTACTTGCTAACGATGACATTGGAAATCAGGTGACATACCTGAGTAGGAATCATGGCTGGAGGACCTTGCCCATACATGAACTGCTGCCCAAGCCCAGGGGCACCAGGAGGAAACATAGGCATACGAGGGCCAACTGCAGGAGGCATTGGAACTGGCCTCATTTGGGAAAACTGAGCCTGTAAAACACCAATAGTCAACCACAATGCTCCCCATACTCCACAAAATATGAACAAGTGGCAGATCCAACATCATAAATCATATATGACCGAAATGTCTGCAAGAGTTTGAAGTTCTTTTATGGTTGGGAAATGTTTAGGATATTTTCAACTAAGTACACCATCCATCAACTTGATAATTAATGAACCTGAAGCCTTGCTCGACGATCCTCCTTGCGTTGAGCATGTGCAACATACAAAGGTTTGCTAACAATAATCTTTCCATTCATCTCATTAATCTGGGAAGAAAAACAGTGGCACTCAATCAGGGTAACAAACTGGGAAATAGTATAATCATATGCATACTGGGACCAATAAAACCTTTTAACTTACAGCTCGTGAGGCCTCTTCAGGTGTAGCGAATGCAACAAACCCTGAACCTTTGCTAATTCCACTTGGATCACGCACAACCTTTGAATTAGCCAAAAATGAAACAATGACTATGAGCAGATTATTGTGAGAAGAGAAGAATAATAGCAATACAGCAGCGAAAAAAAGTGCTACCTTGCATGATGTCACTGTACCAAATTCAGAAAACAACTCCTTGAGCTTTTCATCAGATATGCTGTCATCCAAATTCTTGATGTAGAGATTAAGTCCTTGGTACTTATCTACAGCTTCCTTCATACTTTGCTCAAATCGTCCTTTCAGTTCTTGCTCTCTTTCAGATTTCTTCTGAGCCTTTCCAACAAACCATTCTTTGTCATCAAATTTTTTTCCATTAAGAGCCTCAACAGCTTTAGCTGCATCATCTGCATTTTCAAAATTAACAAACCCAAAACACCTAGACTTCCCATCTCCATCACGCATCACCACAGCACTAGTAATTGCACCATACTCTCCAAAGACCTTCTTCAAGTCCTCATCCGCAGTTGATTCGGAAAGATTTTTCACAAATACATTATTGAATCTTGTATTACTCATAGAACTATCTCTCTCCTGCTTACGGACAAAGGGTCCGACATAAACTTGCTTATCGTTCATCAGCATACCATCCAACTTGTCGATAGCATTCTTAGCAGCTTCCTCAGTGTCATACTGAACAAAACCATAACCCTTGGACTGTCCAGAAGCATCAGTAGCCACTTTGCATGACAGAATGTTGCCAAAGGCAGAGAAAGTTTCATGTAAAGCTTTGTGATCAATGGCCTTGTCAAGGTTCTGCAGCACACAAAACAATATCAACAAAAGAAGAGATAAGAAGTTGTACATACAATGAGAATATGAAACAGCCAAGCACAATATCACTGACACATAAGTGATTGGGAAACAAATATGGATACTAAGTTAAATCTTTATATAAAAAAAGAAAACAAAAAACGACCACTAGCTCAATGGCCCAAGAGTATCAAAATAATAAGAAAATAAGACTGAATCAAGGCTTAGGGTTGAACGGACAAGTCCAAGGTACCAGAAAACAAAGCAGTACCAAAATAACAAGCTAGGAATACCAACATTTTAGACTGATAACAAGAGGCAGTACCTTGATGTAGATATTTCCAGCACCACTCTTACGAAGACTCGGATCCCTGTGTGAATACATGATCCTGATAGACTTGTTGTTGAGTGGAGTGAAGTTCAGCAAGTCCAATGCCCTTGCAGCTGTTGCAGAAGCAAAGAAGCAGAAAACGTAAGTAATCAACTTAGAGAATATCAATGAACATAAGAATGCAAGAGAGGCCACACAAGAGCAAATCGTCATGGAAAAACTAATAGTCAAACTAGTAAGGTCTCGTATGAACTACAAAAAAACCCAACATGAGATCCTTCAAGCAAGAGGTCACTTTTACCAATTTAACGCGTAAAATGCAACTGAATTATATGATTTTAACATCATCTAATGTACAATGAATTCACCCTTTCTGACTGAGGCTAGGGTCTAATCAAATTTCTAACTAACTTATCCAGAGCATGCACGTTTATGCAGGCAGTAACCTTTCAATGTTCCAGGACAAACATTTAGCATTTAGCCTAATTATCATCCCAACACAAGAAAAACAAGGACCCTGTTTTCCAATGTGCCATATGGTGTTCATCAATTCAGTAATCACTTTCAGCAAACTCAAAACGCTCAGTCTCAACACTTATCAGAAGCATTAAACAATACAGTATCAAACATGCACACCAAAAACAACAGAGCATTCCATTTAGCAAACCCTAAACCAAAAAACTGTTAAGCGATTAAGAAATTACTGACCTTCCTGGCCATTGGTAAAGTTAATATAAGCATAGCCAAGAGACCGCCGGGTATTCTGGTCCCTGCAGACACGAATGGACACCAGCTGGCCGACTTGACCAAACAGATCGGCGAGCTGCGCCTCAGAAACGTTGGGATCAAGATCCCCCACGTACAGCGAGGTGGAACCGAAAGGGATCGGCCCAGTCGCCACCGCACCACCAGCCACTCCGTTCTGAGTAGGCATCGACTGAGGAGACGGAGGAGCAGCCGCTCCCGTCGCCGCCGCCTGCTGTCGCTGCACCTGAATCTGCGCCATCTCAGAACTTACAAACCCTTCTGCAAATCCCACTCCTTTCTTCTTCTTCTTCCTTTCCTAGAACCAAATTTTTTTTAATTTTTTTCTCCGTTCCCCACTCTCCTCGTTGCGATTATATAAGAATCGGAAACACTGTGGCTACCACGGCGCCACTCTTTCTCCCGAATGCGATCCTAAAAACGAAAACCGGAAAGGTAATAGAGGGCAAAATTCTAGGGTATAATCTGAGGGATAAAAAAAAAGAGGAGAGGGGACGGGGGATAGGATATAGGAGGGATAGAATCGTCGGCGACCGGAGACGGGGAACTACCGGACGGCTAGACGACGGAGAGGAAAAGGAAAATTTTTTGGTGTTTTTTAAGGGTGGGAGGGCAGAAGCACGAACTGCACCGCGCCGGCAATGGCGTAACTGTGGAGATTATATACTCTGGGAGGCAGAAACCCTAGTTGCGACAGCTTGCTGATGATTGATCAGCAGCCGTTGGATCGGGATAGTGAGAGCCTGAAACCCTAGCTTGATAGTCTGTCAGTGTTGTCAGGAGCCGTTGGATGTAATGTTTGGACGGTTGAGATGAGAAACGCGGATGAGGGAGACCCGGGTACACGTGGTTGTGTGTGCAGATTAACTTAACACGGGAATTCCCCATCAAAGTTATCGAAATTTTCGATAAGAGGGAGAAAGGAAAAGGAAACAGCCACTCTCTTGTCGGGATCGGTCGTTTTGTCAGAAGGGGTCAAGGCCCAATCGTGTCAAATGGGCCTGATTGAGGGCCGTGTCTGGTATAACAAGGAGAGTACGAAGGATGATAGTTCAGTTGCGGACTGTTTAATTGAAAGTGGAATGTTAACGGGAAGAAGCCCACGATGTTATGTTTCTCATTCTTCCATCTACCCCTAAAAGTAATCATTAGTTTGCTTAGATCTAGAGAATATATAATAATACGTTTTAAAGCATCTGAAACTCTCCATTTCAAAATTGCAGCCCTGGGAGTGTTTCCCGGAAGGGCATTGAAGGGAATTGCCAAAATTAAATTCCACAGTGCGTTTTGACTTAAACGCATCTGGACTACTATAGTTTCTTTTTCTTCCTTTCCTCCCCACCTGCTTTCCTCTTCTCTCGATGAATCCCTAAACACCGAAAGCAAAATTATTACCGCAGGTTTTAACCTCAATCTTCAGTTGGAGCTTCTCAATTATTCTTCGCCTCATCATCTGAATCTACCCAACCTTCCTAGCTCACCCAACTTCTCTCATTCCGTACCGTCTGAGTTGTGCACAACCATAATATTAAACCCTGTGTTTCCATCTTAAATAGCCCACCCTCAACTCATTTACTTTGAGGGGTCTGATGAGAATATGACTGTATAGATAGCTAGAAACAATATTTCCAATTTATTTGATTTCATATTCCAAATTTGTTGTGTTTTATTTTGATGAATTTTCTCTTTCTTTTTCATATCTCTGTTTACTTTCACTTTTCCATTAGTTAAAGCCTGCTTTGCTTTTTGTTTTTATCAGTATAGATTTTCAGATGTGGTGACACTTACATTTTGTTTAGTAGTTCAATTTCTTTGTTTAGGGTGATGCATCATTTTTATTTTGATTTTATGTTGTTGTGCCCTACTACCTTTCCTCATAAAATACTCTGGGTTGGATTCTAACGGTGCATCGGGATTCCTTTACGTGGAGTTTTGAGTCAAATCAGCCAGAACCTTGCAACTTGAATGTGTACCTTATCCTGCTACGGTGTTGTGATGGATTGAAGTTATGCCAGATCATATATCAGACTCATGAACTGTTGCGCCCCAGCCCCAACTACAAAGCGATAGATTGATGGAAGGTATGTCATATATAGAGCTACAAAGAAAGCCCCAATCCTCCAGCATACGGATCACAGTAGTGTAGCTCATACATTTATTTTCCAAAACTTTAACATTAAGAACAGGAAATCACATGTTTAAAACTATTTTGTTATCATCTAAGGTCATGAGTTTTTACTCTTCCCATTTGGGACATGGATAGGGTGGAAATCGGTACGGTATAGGTATCCCAATACCAAATACCAAAATCCCGAATACCGAATTACACCCTAAAATCAATCCCAATCTCAATTCCTAAATAATTTCGGTATTCCAATCCCAATCCCTAAATAATTTCGGTATCCCAATCGGTATTATCGAATACATAATTAATTATCTTTGCAATTAATAATTAAATATATAAATTTGATTTTATTGTTTAATTTAGGCCGAAGAGACTAAGCAAATAGTCTTGAGCTGCCTAGAGCTAACATCTCAAGTTATTGTAATTGGTAATCTTTAATTTGACGAATTTGAGGTTGAGAGACGACTAATAATAGTGTGAATGTAATGATCTATGTATAATTAAATGATACTTTCGGTGGTTGATGGTCGCGTAATAGTGAATGAGAGAGTTTAGTTGAGAGAATAAAATATACATTAGCTTATATTTCGGTATTGATCGGTATTTCGGTATATACCGATCACAATCCCATAATCGCTAATACCGAATAACAATTGAAATTCAATCCCAATCCCAATCCCACAAAATAATACGTGTATTCGGTAATACTAAATATAGACAAATTCGATATATCCCAAATACCGGTACCAAACTTCCAGCCTTGGACATGGGTGCTTGATGATATGCCTTTTCTTTTCAGTTTCAGTTTCAGAAGCTAATGATAGCATAATTCAGAGTTAAGGATTAGTGAGGTTCATAGGTCTAGGATTTGGGAATGACAATTTTGATTCTTCCATGGCCTTATTGGTGGAGTTTAGAGAAGGACTCTGCCATTTTCAATTCTCTATTTCTCTCTATCTTTCTATGAATGATAAATCTTCTCAAGAGAATGACTGATCATATTGGAAGACTTTTTCTTTCAAAATCGACCATGGGGAACTTTGAGACGGCAAAATTGATAACCATAGTTTATGAGAAGATTGACCATGGTCCACAATTCGAGGATTTTAGCCTGATAATTTAGGCCCTTTAGGATTGTGACAATTTTGTTCTCTCCTATTAAGCTTTTCTCTTGGTGCATCATTGAAAACATATGTCCTTTTTGTCATTGTGATTTTTACTATCATCGAATCATAACATCTTGGTAATATTTTGTTTTTAGTTTCAATTGTTTGAACTTTAATATCATCAAGGTGAGTGTAACTGTAGACAGATTGATTTCGTGAGCTTACAACTTAAGGAATTGACCAAGTACCCCCCCCCCCCCCCCAATTTAATAGACATCAAAGACAAATTGTTTTTAAACTGATAAAAAAAAGACGAATTGTTTTAAGGCATTAGCGCACTTAGAGATCTTAAGTCCAGGCTTCTGACGATAACATTTTTTATGGTGAAAATTGATTGTATATGTATCATTGAAAAGCAACTCTCATGTTTTTTTCATTGACTTTAATTTAAGTTATACTTTGTTTTGCCTTACTTTGTTAGTAATTTTTTTTTTTACAAACAATTTAATAACCAAACCTTTTAGTGTTTTTTTTTCAAAATATAGTCAAACCTTTTAAAATCGACGTAAGAGTTAATCGACATAAGAATAGTTTGAGTACTTGCCTAAATAATTCGGCTAACTACAAGTAATTTTTTTATTGTGGTTACCTATCAAAAGAATACAACACAATAAACTTTAGATGAAACAATCAAATGCGTCGGTCACTAGCTAATTAATCCGACGAGAAGAGAGGCTTTTATGTCACTAAATGATCAGCTTTGTCAAAATTTCTAATACAGTGACAATAACTACTACAAATTAGGGATGACAATTTTGACCTGACCCGATTTACCCGACCTGTGTGGCCTGTTTTTGGGGCGGGGCGGGCATGGGTATCTCTCATCGACCCGACCTGCCCTGACCCGCCCCATTCTCGACCCGTTCTTGCCTAAATTACATATAATCTTAGTCAAATTACTTAGGATTCTCCTCTTATTACATTATATTTTAGCTATAATATAGTTGTAATTAATTGAAAACCTCAATTTCTTCAATAATTTAACTAGATTTTATCATATTATGGTTTCTTTCTTGGTCTTTTAATGAGAATAACTAATATTTCTAATGTTTTTGACATAAATTACATACCCATTGGGTCGACCTGCCACGACCCGCGCCCCGTAATAAATTACTCGGCATGGACCCGACCTGCCATGGGGCATGTATGGGCATCGAGATACTCGCCCTGAACCTGCCCATTGCTATTCCTACTACAAATTGATATAACGACATATTGTATGCTCAACATAAATAAACCAATTACAAGAAAGCATATACAACTTTATTCAATAACCACCATCGATGTCTCCGGCCAACAGGCCGGGCCAATATCTAGTTAAAATATATGAATATATGAAAATAATATTTTAGAGTATGGATGTCAATGAGGTTGGTTGAGATGAATTTTGCTAAATCCATTGAAAAAAGTTATTTGCAAAGACACAATCTACTGTACGCCCAGACACGAAATTACTATTCATTTAGACTCAATTTTACCGTTCACCCTTCCCCCATTGGTCCAACCTCTGCGATTGGGCCCGCCTGCGTTTTCTGATTGGTCGGCTGCCTGCATCTGGGTCCCGCCGTTGTTGCTGTGAGTGCCGCGTTGCCCTCAAATCCCCCCTTCATATTCATTTTTTTCTCTCTTGATCCTTCCCTCCTTTAAATGGCATGTGATTCCCTCTGCCCGAAATTTTTTGGGAACTTCACCACCACTGTGAGGAGAGAAGGTTATTGTTTGGGGGGAGTGTATCCTTCGCAGGGAAGTTACAGGCGCGGTGTCCAATGAAGCAGAAAAAAAGAGGGTGGGAGTCTCGAGAAGTCAGGAAGCAAGAGGTGGCCTTTTCCCGGTCAATTAGTTGAGATGAGATATCTGAAACCACTCTTCCTTTTCACCAACTCTCTCTTGCTCACTCTGTTTTCGCTCACCTTCTCTAACCTATTTCTCTGCAAACAGCCATTTTTCCCAAATCTTCTCCTTCTCTGACCTCTTCTCACCATCTTCTCCTTCTCTCTTTCTCTCTTTGTGACTGCCAGAATCTCGAAAATCCGAGATGAAGCAGCCAGCTTGCCGAAGAAGGAGCTCTGTCAGCCGCTTCGATCGACGCCGATTCTATTCCCCTGTATCTGATTTCTATGGACGAAGAGGAGGGAAGGTGTGAACCTCGATGTTAGTCTCTTCTCTCAATTTCGCCGGTTCGATTAGAGGGCCACTGGGGGATCTGGTGAGCGTTTGGACAAGAGCCAGATCTGCGCCTACTGTTTTCATTATTCGTAGATCCCGTCTTTGGTATATTCACGTGGTGACTGAGTTCATCTGAAGCTTTTAATACTGATCATGTTTGAGGAATCCCTTTGGTGATTC